CTAGGCCAGGTTGCTCCAAGCCCCATCCAACCTGCCCTGGACATTTCCAGGGATGGGGCAGCCACAGTTTCTCTGGGCTATCTGTGCCAAGGCCTCACCACCCTCACAGGGAAGAATTCCTTCCTGACACTTAATCTAAATCTAAACCTTTTTACTTTGAAAACGTTCCCTCTTGTGCCGTGTGCATCACCTTGTCATCCTTGGAGGAACACAGCATGTTTGCCTGCACCTCAGTGGTGGCACCTTTGTCCTCCTGAACCCATGATCTTGTAAAGCAGCGCTTTGGGGGCTCAAGAACCAGGGTCCGTTTCTGTGCCCTGCCTGGCTGGAGCACCTGGGGTGGGCACAGGTAGTCCAGGTGCCAGCGCTGGGGTTTGCAGCACCCGTCAGGATGTGTCCCTGATGTGGAGGGAGAAGGCTGGTGTTGGCAGCAGGCTCAGCACACAACAGTGTTATCTCCACTGCCGTGGGAAGGTTTGACTCTACTTGTGGGAGTTCAAGGAAGCTTTGCTTGGCAGGAACAGGGAGATAACATTCCCACCATAAAGTGTTGATCTGTTGTGTGCTGAACCTTTTGGAAAATTTGGGAGAGTTGGGTTTCTCTATCCAGGCACTGCTGCAGAACGCAGAAGATCCTCTTTCCCCAGAGTTTGATCTGTTTTGTCTGTACTCCATGGAATTAAGGAGAGGAAGGTCAGGACCTTGGAGGAAGTGCCCTGGGTCCTCCCTGGGTCTCCTGGAAATCCTCCTCCCTTAGACACCCCTCGGCACTTTGGCATCATCCTTGGCAAGCGCACACCCCCTGAAGAAAATCCGGCCCAAAATCTGCCAGCTCTTCTGGACGTGGCCTTCTCACATTGTCCAGGCTCCTCCCGAGGCCCTCAGTGCTCTTCCATCACTCCTTCCCCCTTCCAAGCTCATCAAAACCCATTGGGCTGTTCCCACCTGCAGGTCCTCGATGCCCTGTTTCTGCCCTGGCTCCCATCTGCTGCTGGGCTGTTGGCTCCTGAGCCCTCAGCACCAGCCCAGAATTCTTGTTGGATTTTGTGGGATTCTTTCAAGGTTTCCGTTCACAGCACTCGTGAGGATCTCACCTGCACACCCCTCCTTTTATCCAGGTCCCTCCTTAACCATCTTATCCCACTCAGCCAGTCCTTGACAGCAGCTGCAATGCTGCCGTGTCCTGACCCCTGATTGTTTGGTTGCTCCCTGCTTCCATTGGCTTTTCCCCCTGCTTTTCCCTTCATGGTTCACTTCATTCTCTGCCTCAAGGACCTCACAGTTCTCTCGCTGTGGGAAGTCCCTGTCCCAGCCCCAGGAGCTCAGTGGTGGTGCCACAGCGAGTGGCTCTGGGTTCCTTTCCTTTTTAAATGTTTTAACTCCAAAGCTCCCACTCATCAAACCTGCTCTTCCCAGGGAGCTCCTGGCGGGGGGAATGTGGTGGGGTTGGGGCTCCTGGGGCACAGAATTGTGTCCTTTCAGGAAAAACAGGGATGCTGGTATTTGACATGTTGCTGTTGGTTTGGCATCTTGCATCCGAGCTATGGTGGTCACAGCCAGAGCTTCCCAACAGGAATGTTCCTGCAAGGACATTCCTCTGTATCTTCACCTCTGGGAAGTTCCTGATGGGAATCTGAGTGTCCCTGCAGGAGGGTTTGGTCAGTGCTTGAGTGTGAGTTAGACATGACCTGTCCGTGGGCTCTGAAATGCCATTTTTGTTGGTGCCATTGTGCCTGGCTTGGAGCAGGTGATGGGGCTGGGGTGGGCTCAGCTCTGCAGTTTCCTGCTTGCCCGTGCTGGTTTAAGCTGAGAGGAGCCATTCACCCATTGGATACAGCCTGTTGCATCTTGGTTTTCTTCGTGGTTCATGTCCATAGCCTTCCTATGGACCCAGCCTGGATCTTTCCTCCTGTATGCTGTGGGTGTATCTTGGTTTATAACTTGTGGCTCTAACTTTGCTCTGGGCGAGTGGTGCCTATGGTCATTGTCAGGCTGGAGCCCCACTCCAGATTTCTTTCTGCTGTGTAGATGCTGGATCGTTTCAATCAAAGGCTCATAGTTCTTTGAAATCTATTTTATGTTACTGAGATCTGGAATCATTGCTCTCTGCTGGTGAAACGTCTCTGGGATGGAGGGAACATCCAGCGAGCAGCAGGAGAATTGGCACCCAAGCACGGGGTTTAACTGAATCACAGAAGCCCCGTTCCAGTGGGCTGATGATCTGAGAGATTATCGAGGCTGGCGTTTTGGGGAAAGCTGGCTGCAAATTGTTTTGGAACACCGTGCGAGTACAGCAGCCCTGCTCCAGTTGAATTCGCAGCTTTCCAGGCAGAGCAGAGCACTCTGCTCCAGAAAACCCAAAAACCCACCTCAACCTGTCCTGTCAGCATGTTCAGGGCACAGGTTGTGAGCAACAGGTTCTAGTCATAAGTCCTTGCCTTTCTGAGCCTGTGCTGGCAAAGCTCGTCCTGGGATGTGGGAGCTGGGGCTCCATGCAGGGTTGGGGGTGAGAAGCTGCCAGCAGTGACCCATGGCTCGTCTCTCAGGCCTTTGCTCTGTGTCCTGGGGCAGGGACACTGGAGGGACAGGGCTCCAGGAGCAAGGACTCCCCGAGGACTCTGTCCCTGTGCCCTTCCTCACCCGAGTCTGGAGTGATGCTCGAGGGCGCAGTGCCAGGAGAGCTTAGGGACATCAACCCCTGGGGATTTGAGGACCCATCCGAGCTAAGCCTTTTCCTGTGTCCTCAGCCCTGCTTCCCCTCAGAGGAGAATCTTCCTTTTGAACTTTTGTTCACTTGTGAGCTCACCCTGATGCTAGGAGGGCAGCATGGGTGGATTGTTCCCGCTGGGAGCTTGTTCGGGTTGTGAGTGAGGGGTGAGCTCCCACCAGGGCTCTGGACCAGGAAGGATTCTGAGCTTCCTGAGGGGAATCCTGGAGACCAGGAGAACTGTAAGGTGCAGCCATGCAGTGGGAAGTGGCTCTACCAGCGTAGGGACAACTGGAAAATGAAGCAGGATAGAGAATTGAGGGGTCTGTAGATAAAAACTTGATTCTGGTTGCAGCCGGGGGTGACACGGGCAGGTGAGAGGTGACAACACACGGGCATGTGAAGTAACACCATCTCTTGGCACTGTTCCTCTAGTTTAATCCTTGGGAATGTCCTTTAGTGGAGTGAAGGAGCTCATTACCATCATTAGCATGAGGATGAGCTTGCCAAGTTTACCCAGTCTTGACAAAGGGGTTTGATGGAGTAACTCAGTTTGGAGCTTTTGAACTTGAGGAGGGTCAGAGAAGCAAGCACAGCTGGGGGAATCTGAAAATCATTTGTAAATTGAAGATGTCCTCTCTTAGTCCCCAGAGTTTGCCTGCTGGACCTTGGAAACTCTGAAATTTTCCCAAAAGCAGCCCTGAAGTATTGGGATCAAGGTGTGGCTGTTGTGGTACTTCTGTCTCATGCTGACTCTAAATTTTCTTTTGTCCTCAGCTGCTTTTCCTCATCGGCTGAACCTTTTTTACTTGGCCAATGATGTCATACAGAACTGCAAGAGGAAAAATGCCATTGTCTTTCGGGACACCTTTGCAGAGGTGCTTCCTGAGGCTGCTTCATTGGTGAAGTGAGTAATGAACTAACAGGCTATTGGAACACTGAGTGTCTCAAAAAGGGAGAATTTTTCTTCTGACATCTCAAACTCTTCAGAAACATCAGCAGAACTTAAAGGATTCTGTTGGAACAGCCGTGTGTTTGCAGAGCAGGCCAGAGTTGGCATGACCTGGGTTTTAATTTGCACAGGGGGGTGGTTTGGGTCAAATTATCCTGTGGAGAGAGGGAAGCCTTGCACCAGTGTCCTGCAGTCAGGGGGTAAAGAACTCTTCTCTTCCAGGGATCCATCTGTTTCCAAATCCATCGAAAGAATCTTCAAAATCTGGGAGGACAGAAACGTGTACCCTGAGGAAACCATTTTGGCACTGAAAGAAGCACTGAGTAAGTCACTTACCCTTTGCATTTCTCACCTTACAAACTGCCACGTGAGCTCACTGAAGTTGTAGAAATAGTCTGGGGTCACTGAGGGGAATCAGGGGCATTTGCACCTGGCACAGGCTGTAACGTAGCCGGGTGTGGGACGTGAGCAGTGCTGGATTCTCCTGCTTTACCTCTTCTGTACCTTTCTCAAGGCAGCTGTGAATTCTTTAGCATGAGCTGGAACTTCTCCAGCTGAGAGCAAACAGAACGTGAGGCTGAAATGGTTCTACACGTCCTGACCAGGGTGCTCTGGCTCTATCTCCAGGTCCTGTTCAATCATAGGCTGCTTTAACTAATCATATTTGTGGGGTAGCAAGAGGCAGAAGCAAAGCTGGAGGGTGAAGAGTCCTCAAATCCTTAGGGAAGAAACACGTGGAGTCGGTTAAATCCAGGAGTTAGCAGTGCAGCACTTGGAGGAAATGAGTGCAGGTTTTGGCTCTACTCACATCATAAAGAGCTGGAGGTGCTCAGGAAGCCCTCTGGTGTGCTCTGAAGGTCGGTGACCATCACGGCAGCAGCAATGTGGTGTCCTGGGTTGGGCTTGGCACGAGGACAGGCTCGAGCTGGGTCGTTGCATGCTGAGAAGTGACGTTTGTGCTTTTGCTCTGAAATGGCTCATTTCTGTAACTTGACAACAGGTGTGTGAGGTTTCAGGTAAATCAGGTATTGTGGCTGCTTTCCCCATGGGGCAGCACTTGTCTGTTCCAGCTGATCCCATTACAGCCTCCCTAAAGAATTTCATTTTTAGATTCCTTGTGTTTTCCCTTCTGCCTGTGATTTTTGAACTGCCTTAATGTAAGGGCAAACAGAAACTTGATTTAAAAATGGTAGACCACCCCCAGGTTGCTGCATTCCTGAGTAAACTGAGGTTCTCTTGGGCATCCAGCAGCTCATCTAAGGAAGTTGGTCGAGGTATTTTAAAACAAATTTCTGTTCACTCTTTCATCGTGCAACTGTATGGCACCAAAAAACCAGATTTTGACAAGAATCCCATAATGCCAGATTGCCAAAAATGAAATGTTTTCCAGGTACCACTTTCAAAACTCAGAAGCAACTGAAAGAGTCTCTGAACAAACCGAATAAGCCGTGGAAGAAATCACAAAGTAAGGAACCACTGTGAACTCTGTGCACTAATGCAGAAATTGGCTGCTCAAGGAGCAGAAAGGCTGAGCCCAGTGTGGGCTGAGCCAGCTGAGCCTGCAGGCTCAGAAGGGCCCCAAGATGTGCACCAAGGAGGTGTTGGTAGAAAACAACTTTGTAAAGAAGAGAAGCGAGGCAAAAATAAGATGTGAGAGCAGAGGTTGTGGACAGGAGAGGAAAGAGCTGGTGGAACCTCTTGGAAACTGCTCTTAGGCTGGTCAGAGATGTAGAGAAGACAGAGAGAATCAGATGGACATTCCCTTCGTGCCCAGGAACAGTCCAGAACCCAGACCAGCAAGAGAGAATTTATTATAACAGAGTGACCTTAATGATCTCATTTTTGCACCAACACCCTGAGTGGTCCCGACAGAGGTGGTGAGATGTCAGGTGTGCTGTGTGGCATGTGGGACATCAGGTGTGACAGGGTGACATCAGAAGGCTGAAAAGAATTGGGCAGTGTTTATTGCCAGGCTTAACCAGAAGCTGCTTTCCCGGACAGAACTGGGCTGGATCCAGCGTGGATGGAGGGTTTAGTGCTTTGCTTCTCATCAGCTCGTTTCTTCTTTCCTGTTTCTCCTGTTTTGTCCAGAATGTGATGGATTCAGTCTGTTTGCCAGCAGGACTCGTCCCCCCACCCTGTAAGCAGGTGTGACAGTTGTTAAGGCTCTGAGCATGGTCAGACCTAGGAAGTGCCCAGGGGAAACTCTGCCCACAGGGAACCTGGGCTCCATGTCAAGCTCCAGGTCTGGCTCTTTGGGAATAACATTCCCTTCCTTGCAGAGAGGTGTAACTCCTTGTGGCTAAGGCTGTCAGATGGACCATTGCAGGGACTTGTCTTCCTGAGGAAAAGGTGTGCCCAGGAAATGTTGAGAGCATGTTAAAGAGCAGCAGTGTCACTTGTTGAGCTCGGTCCCAATCCAGCTGTGCGTGTCCATGTCCCCATGAGCTGCCAGGAGCCCGGAGCACTGAGAGACACGTGCATGGAGGGGAGGATGTGATGGGTAACACCTGAAGTTATCTTAAAGAATCTTTTATTAGGCTGCCTCTTGTGACTGACTTTCCATCGGGATGCAGTTCCTTAATTTCTTCACAATTTTCATTTGTCCCCACAGCCTCCACCAACCCCAAAGCTGCTCTGAAGTCCAAGATTGTTGCTGAATTCCGAGTAAGTCTGTGAGTGGAAGTGACCCGTGGCACTGAGCCCCACCTTGGGGGTTTGCATGTGGGGTGATCCCAGGCCCAGGAGCCACCTGTGACACCCATGGGGCTGGCACGGGGAGGGTCTGGGCAGGCTCAGGACATCCTTTTGAAGAGGAGTTTGGCAAGAAATGGGTCTAAATTTGGTCCCCTGACAGAATGGGAAATGTTCATGCACAGGCACCTGTAGAGTGAAATGGGGAGTAAATAAAAAAGACCTGTCCCTGCTCTCAACCAGATATATGGAATTGCAGTTCCTGCCTGAGCCCAGCTTTGCTTATTGGGAATTTTGAGGTTAAAAATCCCGGGATCCACATGGTTCCTGGGTTAGCTCTCGTTGGAAGCAGTCTAGGAGCAGAGCAGAGGCAGGGCTTCCCTTGCCTGGAATGTGATGAGGAGGCTTTTCCTGTTTGCTCTTTTCCAGCCCCAGTCCCTCATTGATGAGCTGCTGCTGTACAAGCGCTCAGAAGATCAGATAGAGCTGAAGGAGAAGCAGCTTTCCACCATGAGGGTGGATGTCTGCAGCACTGAGACACTCAAGTGCTTGAAAGGTAAAGCCCTGAGGGCAACGAAGGGGTTGTGGGAGCTCCTCAGTTCTGTGGAGATGGAAAATGCTGCAATTTCAGAGTGGGGTTAAGCAATCGGGAGCCAAAAATCTTGGTTAGTTTGAATTTCAATGGAAAGTCTCAGGTGCAGAGCTCAGACCAAGCAAATGACTGTCTGAAAACCAGCACTCTGCCAGCAACTAGGTCTCCTCCTTGCCAGATCCCAGTGGATGACCAGGGGGGTCTGGGAGCCTGCAGCTCTGCTGTCCCAATGTCCCACCTGCTGCCATCGAGGCCAAACTCCTGTGGCTTGGCATGTGGCAGCTCATTTCCATGGTGTTCACCTCCCTGCAGATAAAACAGGAGGGAAGAAGTTCTCCAAGGAGTTCGAAGAAGCAAGTTCAAAGCTGGAGGAGTTTGTCAATGGCTTGGACAAGCAAGTGAAGAACGGCCCCTCGCTCACCGAGGCGCTGGAGAACGCCGGGATCTTCTACGAGGCACAGTACAAAGAAGTCAAGGTGGTGGCAAATGTAAGTGTGCCTTTCCTGGGTCCTCCACAGGTGAAACAGCACCTGCCTGTGTTCACTGGGCACCTGGGAGGCTGGAAAACACCTCGTCTCTCTATTCCCAAATTAAAACGTTTGTGGGATTGATGTAAGGATGGTTTCCAAAGATGGGAGAACGGAGGCTGTGGGCAAGACGAGGATCTGCTCTCCAAATACAGCAGTTGGAAGCTCAGTTTGTATGTGTTGCTGGAATGTTGGATCCCCTCTAGATTCTTAAACAGGGCAAAATTGCAGTTATTGTGACAAATCGTGAATTCTGGAAAGTTGGGATTTATGTGAGAATTAGATTAGCAAAGAAAGGACAGTAGTAAAGTGTTATAAAAACAGCCAACACCCTCCTGACCCTACCAAAGTGGGCAGAATGCATCTGTTAAAATGCTGGGGGGTTATGAAAATTGTTTTAAGTGGAAAAAGGTTTTATCCTCCTCACTTTTTGTGGTTGTTGCCCTGTGAGTCCCATGGAGATGCTGAGCTCTTACCACTGCAGGGTCCAGGGATTTGGGATTGGTTTTCTCAGGCTGTGTGTTGCTTCCTTAAGGAAATGACCGAGGCATGAAAGATCCCCAGTGCAGTGTCCTTCCTTCCTTAGGCCTATAAAACATTTGCCAACCGAGTGAGCAATCTGAAGAAAAAGCTGGACCAGCTGAAAGCAACCCTTCCTGATCCCGAGGAGTCTCCGGTCCCTTCTCCCAGCATGGACGCCCCATCTCCCACGGGCTCCGAGTCCCCTTTCCAGGGCATGGGGGAGGAGAACAGCTCCCGGTCTCCAGCAGCTGGGGGCCGCAAGATGGTCTCTCCAGAGCCTGCAACAGATAATCGGGATGTGGAGGACATGGAGCTCTCCGATGTGGAGGATGATACGTCTAAAATCATTGGTATGTGATTGTCCTGTGGGAATTACAGGACACGCCAGCCTTTGCCAGCTTTCATTCGGGATGTGGAGGAGGCACAAAGCCCGTGCTGGGCTGTGGGCTGGGGCTCTTGGGTTTGACTCTCCTGGCAGGGAAGTCCCAGTGTGGTAATCTCCCATTTCCCGAAACACTTATCAAAGGTATTTTTACATGGGTGGGAATCAGAACTGATGTTCCCCGAGTCTTTTTGGGGGGTCTGAGTGACCTTTCTGCTCTTGTTCCCCTCTCTGCACTGCAGTGGAGGAGAGGAAGGACAAACAGGCTGCTCCGGCCCCGGCCCCCGCCAAGACCGAGAGCGTCCCCAAAGCGGTGCCTGCGGCTGCTGCGGCTGCCACGGCCTCGGGGACAGTGGCCACGCCAGCCCCGGCCCCTCCGACCCCCCCGGCTCCCAAGGTGGTGAGCACGGCTCCCATCCCTCCGGCACCAGCGCTCGCCTTACCCAACCTGGCCAACGTGGACCTGGCCAAGATCAGCTCCATCCTCAGCAGTTTGACATCGGTGATGAAGAGCACAGGTGAGTGCTGAGCACTGACGGAGCTGGGTGATCGTTTAAAGCTTTAATTGTCTCAAAATAAACGTGAGTTACTGGTTTCAGAGGTCTGGCTCGGTCTCTGGCACACGGTGTCTCTTTATGAGCCTCCCCTTGCTCATGCTCCGTTGTGCCTGTGAGAAGGCCGAGTCAAAAGCACGTGCGTTGCCAGAGCAGCGCAGGTGAGTGGTGTGTGCTCCTGCCCCAGGTGTGAGTCCTGCCTCGAGGCCTTCACCAGGGACCCCGACCAGCCCCACAGCTCTCACCAGTGGCCTGAAGACTCCTGTCCTGGGAACCCCCTCTGCTCCTTCGAATCCATTGGCAAATATTCTCTCCAAAGTCGAGATAACTCCGGAAAGCATTTTGTCGGCTCTCTCCAAAACCCAGACTCAGACAGCGCCAGCACTGCAAGGTACTGGGGTGGGCGTTGGAGGAGGGCTGGCAGGTGTCCGAGGTCAGTGGCCAGGCTGAAACGTGCTGCTCTGCTTTTCCTGAAGTGAGAAAACAGGGAGAAAAGCTTCATTGGAATGTTTTACATCTTTGGCAGATGTGGATGGTCTTTCTCAGGTAGCACAGGTGTCACGGAACAGTGAGATCTGTCCCTTCCCTGTACTTCCCGCTTGTGCTGTGGCTGCAGTGCACGTATCTGGAACATTCCCAGAACAGGAGACCAAGAGGTCTCTCTGTTTTCTAAGTGCAGAAAGCTGCCCAGAGGTTCTGCTTCCTCTCTGGCACCTTACCAGGGTCACCTGGCCAGCAGGGCAGGGTTTCCCACTCCTGGCAGCAGACCAGGACGAGTTCTTACCCGCCTGACTCGATAGTGTAATTTATATTTGCAGCTCAATCCAAGCCTCTGGCAGAAGGTTGCACCTCACTAGGTGCTAATATCAGTGCAGCAAAATCTTTGTGGCTGGAGTGTAAAGGAACAGCAGTGCAAACACAGGAGCCCTTCCCATGGCAGGGGCTGGGGGTGATTTGCTCTCTCCTCAGTAGCTGATGCAGCAGTTGTGTTTTCCAGGGCTGTCATCCTTGCTGCAGAGCGTGGCTGGAAACACCGTTCAGTCAGGAGAAGCTGCCTCACAGAGCACCTCGGCATCTCCAGCCAACACAACCGTGCCGTGCATGAAGGGCAGGAATGTTCCTTCCAATCCGCAGTCCTTTATAGCCAAAAGTTTTGGTTATTCTCCAAACTCGACCACCGCGGAGGTTTCCTCCACTTCAGTCAATAAGGCTCCCGTCGGACATACCCCAGCACTGTCAAGCTCTGGTTTTAAGCCACCAACTAATTCCCTGGGATTTTCCAGTTCCCACCCCACCAGTCCTTCCTCCCTTTTGCCAACAGAAACCTCACTGGGTCAATCCTCCGAAATTTCAAAAGCCAAGCTGGAATCGGAACCCCCTTCTCCCAGCTTGGAGATGAAGATACACAATTTCCTGAAGGGAAATCCTGGCTTCAGTGGCCTGAACTTGAATATTCCCATACTCAGCAGCTTGGGGTCCAGCATGGCAACGGAGAGTCACGCCTCTGACTTCCAGCGTGGTCCCACCAGCACTTCCATGGACAATGTGGACGGGACACCAGTGCGTGACGAGCGCAGCGGGACGCCCACCCAGGACGAGATGATGGACAAGCCAACGTCGAGCAACGTCGACACGATCTCCCTGCTGTCGAAAATCATGAGCCCCGGTTCTTCGACTCCCAGCAGTACAAGGTCACCTCTGCAGGGCCGGGATGATGGATATTCCCAAGAACTTCCCAGTTCTGTGCACGGCTACCGGCCCTTTGGCCTTGGCAGAGACTCCCCAGCCAGCCTGTACAAGCCACCTGCGGACAGCAGGGAGATGCCCTCCTCCCTGATGGACTCCTCCCAGGAGAAGTTTTACCCAGATACTTCTTTCCAAGAAGACGAGGATTACCGCGACTTTGACTACTCCGGGCCGCCGCCCTCGGCCATGCTGAACCTGGAGAAGAAGCCGGTCAAGTCTATCCTGAAATCGAGTAAACTCCCTGATTTTGCAGAGTACCAGCCCGTGCTGTCCAGCTACGGTCAGCGGTCGCAGGAGTTCGGCGTGAAGCCGTCCTTCCCCCCGGCCATGAGGTCTATCCTGGATCAGAGCGAGAGCTGCGACCCGCTGGCCTCGTCCCCAGGGATGTTCGGGAGCTACGGCCGCAGGGGGAAGGACTCGACCTCGGACGGGTCCCCGTCGCCCAGCAAGAACGACGTGTTCTTCACGCCGGACTCCAACCACAGCGCCCTGCCCAAAGCCGGCCTCCCGCAGAAGCAATACTCGGACTCGCCCCACGCGCTTCCCCACCGCTCGCTCTTCTCTCCCCAGAACGCCCTCCCCAGCCCCGCCAGCCGAGCACCCGCGGCGGGCGGGGACAAACCCATGGGTTCCTCCATCTCTGCCACCTCCACCATTGAGTTCAAGAACATGCTCAAAAACGCCTCCCGGAAGCCCTCCGAGGAGAAGCATTTTGGGCAGATTCCCAAAAGCAGCTCCGGTGAGGTGGGGGGCTTGTCCGGGGTGGTGAAGGGCGAGCCGCAGCCGCCGGAGGAGCACTACCGCATCGAGACCCGCGTCTCCTCCTCCTGCCTGGACCTGCCCGACAGCACCGAGGAGAAGGGGGCCCCCATCGAGACGCTGGGCTACCACAACGCCTCGAGCCGGGGCATGTCCGGGGAGCCGATCCAGACCGTGGAGTCCATCCGCGTGCTGGGCAAGGGCAGCCGGGGCCACGGGCGTGAGGGGAGCCGGGCGGGCTGGTTCGAGCTGAGCAGCGGCGGGAGCGCCTTCGACAACGGCCCCGCGGGCTCCTCGGAGCTGCCCGGCATGGGCGGCTTCCCGGCGCCCTACAAGGAGCACGTGCCGCCCTTCCCGGAGAGCGTCAACAACTTCCGAACGAACAACTTCAGCTCCGCCTTCGAGCACCACCTGCCGCCGCCGCCCCTCGCGCCGCCTCCCCTGGAGCACGGGAACCCCTTCCCGCGGGACCCGGTGGGGCCGCCCGCCGTGCCCCCGCCCGCTCCCACCAAGGACCACGGCAGCCTCTTCCCGAGGGATCACTCGGTCCCTCCCCGCATGCCGTCGGTGGATCACGCCAACCCCTTCTCCAAGGAAACGCCCGCGCCGCTCCCGCTGCCCCACGGCGTGCCGCCGCCCCCCTCGGTGGAGCACGCGGGGGTCCCGTTCCCCACGCCCCCGCCTCCCCCGGTGCCCGGGGAGCACGCCGGGGTCCCGTTCCCCGCGCAGCCGCCGCCGGCGGGGGAGCACGGCGGGGTCCCGTTCCCCGCGCCGCCCCCGCTGGAGCACGGCGCCGGCGCCTTCCCCAAGGAGCACGGTACGATGCAAGGGACGCTGAAGGAGCACTTCGGGGGGGCGCAGCCGCGGGACCCCCTGCCCCGCTCGCGGGACCCCGCGGGGCCCGGCGCTCTGCCCCGGGAGCAGCTGGGGGCCGGGCGCGGGCTGGGCCCCCCCGCCCACCGGGACCCCGGCGGCCGCGGCGGCTCCGTCCTGCTCCGCACGCCCCGCGCCGAGTTCCGCCCGCGGGAGCCCTTCGGCGGCAGAGACCCCTTCCAGAGCCTGAAGCGGCCGCGGCCGCCCTTCGGAAGGGGGGGAGCCCCCTTCTTCACCCCTAAGCGCCCCTTCTTCCCTCCCCGGTACTGAAGCAGCCGCCGAGCTCCCAGGGCTGCCCTTTCATTTGTTTTCTTTCTTTTTTTTTTTTTCTTTTTTTTTTTTTCCATTTTTTCTTTTTTTTCCTCTCCTCAAGACCCCTGTAACCTTCTCCTAAATTAAATGTTCTGTACTTTTCGGTTGGTTCTACCCCCCCAGCCCCCCAGCATTGGGTGAGACAAGAAAACAGACACAAACCAATGTTTTAACAAGAAGAAGCCACGTTGCTGTTAAATAAAACCTTCGGTAGTAGTTGAAAAAGTTAAAAAAAAAAAAATTAAAAGGAAAAACTCTGAAAGCTTCGAGAGGAGCACTTGAGTGGTGTTGGGGTGTTGGTTTCCAGCCGATCCCCAAATTGCTGCTGCAGGGAGGGGAGACCCCCCCCTCCGATTCTCCTGTCTGCCGAAAGCACCAAAACAAGGCAAAAAAAAAAAAAAAAAGGGTCGAGGAACCCACCCAAACCCACCTTGGAGCTTCGTGGGACGTGGGACTCTGGCAGCAAGAAGGCCCAAGCCTGTCCCCCCTGCTTGGGAAGACTGTCGGTTGGGTTTGGGTTAATTTGGGGATCTTTTGATTTTTTTGTTTTGTTCTGTTTTTCCCCCGGGATCACTGTTGACTTTCTACGTGTGTGTATATAGCAATCACTTTTTAATTCCCTCTGGGATCGTTCACCACACGCAGCCGGAGCCCGGCGGGGGCTCGCAGAGGTTCCCCCTCACACCCAGGGCCGCCCCCGCGGCTTTTATATGAAGTTGGGATTTTACTTGATTTATTTTAATTAATTTTTTTGTTGGTTTTTAGTTGCCTCCATCGTACCTGTTTGATACCGGTGTGGGCTCCAGGATCTGCATAAAAAGTACCAAACCAGCCGTTGGCGGCTCCGTTCTTTCTCGCGTTCTCTCCGGACACCCCCGGCCTGGGGGTACCCCAGCCACGACCCCCCCGCCCCCTCCATGGTTCCATCCTATCTGCCGCGCTCCCGCACGGGCGGGCGAGTCCAACGCGGTTTGCGCGGGGGGACGGCGGCGCTGAGGAGCGCGGGCCCGCCCTTGTCCTCGGTTCCGGCGGAAGGGGCGGAGCCTCGGCCATGTCCGCGCGTGCCGGTTCGCGGCTGCTGCTGGCGGGAGCTCCGCGGCGACACCGGGTGCGCTCGGGACCCCCGGGACCCTCCACGCACCCCCCCAGGGGGACCTCCGCACCACCCCTGCCCCCTTCCCCCGGTCCCTAAGCCCCGCTGGCCACGCGGCACCGAGGGCGACCGGGTGACCTCCCGGTGATTTCCGTCCCCAGGTGTCCGGGCCGGATCCCGAGCGCCTCCGGCTCTTCCAGCGGCTGCGGGCGGCGGCGGCGGAGCGGTGGGAAGGGCTCGGCGATGGCGCCGGGGCCGGGGCCGGGAGCGGCCGCCTCCCGCCGGGGACCCCGATCCGCATCGCGCTGCCCGGCGGGCGCCGCCTGCCCGGCCGGGCCCTGCAAACCACCCCGTTCCAGGTGGCCACGGAGCTCGGGTACGGCCCGCGGGGGTCCCGGGGTGTGCCCAGGGTGCCCGCAGTGTCCTGTCAAGGTTCCCAGACCCCTCAAAGTGTCCCTGCAAGGTCCGCAGTGTCCCCGTGGTGTCCCCACAGGGTCCCCACAATGTCCCTATGGTCCCCACAAGGTTCGTGGGGCTCCTGCTGTTGTCACCATAGTCCCGATGATCCCCAAAGAGCCCCCACAGGGTTCCCACAGGGCTTTTGGGGTCCCCACAATGTCCCCACGTGTCCCCGGTGTCCCTGCAGGGCTGGCCTGGCGGAGGCGGTGCTGGTGGCCCGGGTGAACGGGACCCTCCAGGACCTGGACCGGCCACTGGAATGTGACACCGACTTGGAGCTGCTCGACTTCTCCACGCCCGAGGGGCGGGAGGTGAGCCCGGGAGCCTGGGGTGCCGGAGCCGCACCTCGTCCCCCTCACAGCCCGTGTCCCCCCGTGTCCCCCCATGTCCCCCGTGTTCCCCCAGGCTTTCTGGCGCTCCAGCGCCTGCGTTTTGGGGGCGGTGGCAGAGCAGTTTTTCGGGGCGATGCTTTGCAGCACCCAGGCCACTGAGGACGGCTTCTTCTGCGACGTGCACATGGGCAGCAGGTATGGCGGGGCCCAGGCGGTGCCGCGGGGTGTCCCCGGGGTGTCCCCGCCGTGTCCCCAGCATGTCCCCGTGCCCCCAGGGCAGTGCAGAGCTCGGAGCTGCCGGCGCTGGAGGAGGCCTGTGCCACGTTCGCCCGTGCCCGGCACCGCTTCGAGCGCCTCGAGGCCACCCGGCAGCAGCTGGCTGAGCTGCTCAAGGTGAGACCCCTCCCCAGAGCGTCGCCATCCCATCTCAGGAGGGCCATGGGAGGCCAGCCCGGGGACACTGGGACCCTCCTGGCTGGGATCATCAACCGGAGTGGTGCTCATGGGGACCAGTATCCCCATGGGGGTTACCCCTTGGTGTTACCTGTGCTACTGTCACCACCTTGGTCCTTCACGCAGCACAGTGTCACTTCCCCCTCGGTGTCACCCCTCTAATGTCACCGAGCCACCATCACCCACTTCATTGTTGTCCCTCCTCAGCACAACACCTTCCAGCTGCAGCGGCTCGAGGAGGTGACGTCCCCTACAGCCACGGTCTATAGGTGAGCAGGGGGGACATGGTGGGGGCCGTGGGTCACCTCACCTGTCCCCACATCCATCCCCACATCCATCCCTTCATCCCTCAGGTGCGGCCCCCTGCTCCAGCTCTGCCACGGGCCCCTGCTCCGGCACACGGGGCTGATCGGAGCCCTGCGTGTGCTCACGGTGGGTGTGGGGAGGGGTCCCTGGTGCTGGGCCCTGCTGATTTTGGGGTCAGGTGGGGTCGCAGTGCCCGGCCCCGCTGATGTCCCCCTGTGCCCGCAGAGCTCGGCCGCGCTGTGGGGCGGGGCTGGGGGCCAGTCTCTCCAGCGAGTGGCCGCCGTGGCCTTTCCCAGCGCCCAGGACCTGGAGCAGTGGGAGCGGGCACAGGAGGAGGCGGCTCAGCGGGACCACCGCCGGATCGGGAAGGTGAGCCCTGCCAGGGGCCGGGGGGGGTCCCTCACAGCCACGGGGATCCCCCAGTAACGCCCTCCGTGCTGCAGGATCAGGAGCTCTTCTTCTTCCACAAGTTCAGCCCTGGCAGCTGCTTCTTCCTGCCCCGTGGTGCCCACGTCTACAACACCCTCGTGGAGTTTATCCGGGTGCGGCTTCCCCTGACCCCCATCATCTCCCTGTCACCACATCCCCCAGACCCCACTGTGCCCCCCACACACCCCCCTGCATCCCATCCCCTCGCACCCAGACCCCTCTGCCCGCCCTGCACCCCATCCCTCGCACACAGTTGCTCCCCAGCTCCTGCTGTGCCCCGGTGGCCGCAGCTCTCACCCCTGCCAGTCCCTGAACCCCCCATGACCGATGCTGTGGGGCTGAGCTGACTCGTCCCCATCCCTGTCCCTGCAGAGCGAGTACCGGGCGAGGGGCTTCAGCGAGGTGGTGACCCCCAACCTGTTCAGCCCCCGGCTCTGGGAGCTCTCAGGGCACTGGCAGCACTACAGCCCCCACATCTTCTCTGTCCCTGCCACCCCTGAGACCCTCTCCCTCAAACCCATGAACTGCCCGGCCCACTGGTGAGTCAGGTGGCCCTGGGGTGCCTGGGGGGAGCTCCTGGGGGTGCTGCCTGTCTGTCTGTCTGTCCGTCCCCAGCCTGATGTTCTCCCACCGGCCGCGCTCCTGGCGGGAGCTGCCCCTGCGCCTGGCGGATTTTGGGGTCCTGCACCGCAACGAGCCCCCCGGGACTCTGACTGGGCTGACTCGGGTCCGGCGCTTCCAGCAGGATGATGCCCACATTTTCTGCACGCTGGAGCAGGTGTCTGTCCCCCTGACCCGTCCCTGTCCCCACCCCAGAATGTATCACCTGCCCCCCCTGACACCCCTTTCCCAGCTGGAGAGCGAGATTGATTCCTCCCTGGATTTCATCCGGGCTGTTTACGCCGTCCTGGGCTTTTCCTTCCGCCTGGCCCTGGCCACCCGTCCCGATGGATTCCTGGGGGACCCCGAGACTTGGGATCGTGCTGAGCAGGTGGGACGATGCTCCCTGTGTCGTGTCCCCCCTGCACTGTGCCCCTCTGACCTTCCCAACCCACCCTTGCAGCAGCTGGAGCGGAGCCTGCAGAATTTTGGGCAGCCCTGGGAGCTGAGTCCTGGCGACGGCGCCTTTTATGGGCCCAAGGTGAGGCATTTTGGGGAGGGGAGGATCCCTGAAGGGGGCAACCCAGGACCCTTCTGGAACCTCCCCTCCCCTTTATTGCCACCAGATTGATATCCGGATCCGGGATGCTCTGGGGAGGCACCATCAGTGCGGCACCATCCAGCTGGATTTCCAGATGCCCGAGAGATTCGAGCTGGAATATGCCAGGTACTGGGGGTTTGTGGTGGCCAGGACTGGGTTGGAGTTCAGGATTGTTCTGGGGGGAATCAGGGTTGGGGCTGAGGGAGCAGGATTGGGATTGAGGAATGTCAGGATTGTGAGGGTAGAAGTGGGGGCTGCAGGGGGATCAGGATTGGGGTGGAGGGACAGAAATGAGGCTGGGGGGGGGCAGGATTTAGGGGGGAAGATTTGGGGGACTGGGGAGCGTCCGGATTGGGATGGGGAAGGCGGAATTGGGGGTTTTGGGGGACGTCAGGATTGGGGTCCCCCTGCCCCCCTGACCCCCATTTCCCCCTCAGCCCGAGCGGGGGCCCGGCGCGGCCGGTGCTGATCCATCGGGCCGTGCTGGGCTCCGTGGAGCGCATGGTGGCCGTGCTGGCCGAGAGCTGCGGCGGGAGATGGTGAGAGGGTCCCCAAAAACACCCCAGTCCTTCAGACAACCCCCAGCCCCTGGGCCACAATCCCCAGGGATGCCCCCAGTTCCCAGAAGCACTCTCAGTTGTCTGGGCCCCCTCGTCCTGTGTCACCTTTGTCCCAGGGCAGACACTCCCCGGTTTTGGGGACACTCAATCCCCAGGACGCTCTGCATCCCCAAGATACCTCCATCTTTGGGGCACCTCCATCCTGGGGACACACCTGCAACCTTTGGGGCACCCCCTCCTTGTGTGTCCTCCCGCGTGCTCCCCAGTGACCCCTGGTACCCCCCAGGCCTCTCTGGCTGTCCCCACTGCAGGCCATGGTCATCCCACAGACCCCTGAGGTCGAGGACTACGCCCGGGAGGTGAGTATGTGATCCCCCCCTGTGCTCCCCCAGGACCCCTATCATGTACTCCCATCCCCTGTAACCCCCCCCCCGTGACCCCCCAACACCCCCCATGCCATCCCTCCACGTCCCCCCCACCCCCGTACCCCCCCGTGCCCCCTACTGACACGAGGGGTACAGGTGCAGACAGTGCTGAGGAGGGGGGGCCTCCTGGCCGACCTGGACTGGGACCCCGGGACCACCCTGGCACGGAAAATCCGCCGGGCCCAACTTGCCCACTACAACTTCCAGCTGGGTAAGGGTGGGGTGTGGCTTGCAGACCCCTAGGACCCCCCCGGAACCCCTCTGGAGCCCCCCTGGACTGGCTGGACACCCCCTCCCCCATCCAAATCCTGGGTGCTGCTGGAAAACTGAGACCCTCCCCTGGGACCCCCCAGCACCCCCATGAGGAATCTGCTGAAGCCCCTCCTGAGACCCCCCTGCAATTCCAGGAGCTCAATCCCCCCCTTGGGACCCCTCTGAGATCCACTCGGGAACTCCCCAAGAACATTTTAGGGACACCCCGCCCAGGTCCCTCTGAGACCCCCCAGCCCCTTTGGGACCCTCCTTGGAGCCCCCCGGGACTGCTCTGGGACCCCTCTGGACCCGCCGGGCGGTGGGTGCTGCTCAGAGCTGGGGGTGCTGTGGTTGGGGGTGCCTGTGCAGGCCGGGGGTCGCAGGGACCCCCGAGCTCCCCCCCCGACAGCCGTGATGCCCCCGCAGTGGTGGGACGGCGGGAGCGGGACCGCGGCACCGTCAGCGTCCGGACCCGGGAGAACCGGCAGCTCGGCGAGCTGGAGCTGCCCCGGGTGCTGCAGCGGCTGCTGGAGCTCAGGGACAGCCGCGTCCCCGACGCCGAGCAGCGCTTCTGACCCCCCCTACCCCTTCCCGGGGGGCACCGGGACCCCCTGGACCCCCCAACTCAATAAACTGCTGGGAACGCGCTGGATGTTGTGGGAGCGGAGTCTGGGGCTGCTCGGGGCACCTCACGGAGCTCTCGGTGCTGGGGTGCTCGGGGAGGGGGGCAGGACGCTGGGGACCCCCCCCCCAAACACCTGGATACCCGCCCCACAACACCTGGATTCCCGGATTCCGTGCCCCGGGCTCTCATTTCCAGGTTTCCGTTCCCACATTCCCGGTCCCGAGTCCCCCCCCGGCACTTCTGGGTTTTTCCTGCCGGGATTTCTCCCCACCTACGCGAGGGGGAAAGTGGGGGGATTGCGCAAACCCCGAGTCACGGAGCCACAGACGCCGTTGGGCAATCGGGGGGGACACGGGGCTGTCCCCCCCTAAACACCTGCCATGGGGTGTGGGCTCTGCCCCGGCAGGATTTGATTATCCCGGGATAGGACAGGACGCCCCCCGCCCCGAGATCCCCCTGTCACCGAGGCCGTGACCCTCGGGGACATGAGCTGAGCGATCCCCCCCTCTCGGGGGGTCCCTCCGTTGGTGGCCCTTCAGCCCCCCCAGCTCCGGGGGTGACTCAATGGGCGGGGGCCCCAAAACGGGGCAAAACCCACAAAAATGTGGTCTGACCGCTTCCCCCTGCTCTGACGCAGGGGTCTGGGGGGGGGAGGAAGGGGCGCTGGGGCTACCAGAGGGGGATCCGGGACCAGGGTGGCGACAGCGCCGTCCCAGCCTCTCTGGGGTCGGGGTGATGGCCCTGCCGCTGTTTGGGGGTGCAGGATCCAGCGCAGCCCCCCGGTCCCCCCGGGGTCCCCCCTCCCGGCTCCGCCGCGACGTCAGGCCGTGACTCAGCCTCGCGGGATGTGGCCCCACGCCCGACCCGGCCCTTCATAAGGCGGCGGAGCCGGCGGTGACCCTACAGCTCCCGACGCCATGGCGGCCTTCGGCCTCTTCCTCCTCCTCAGCGCCGCCGGTGAGTCCCCGCGGCCCTCCCCGGGCCCCCCTGCACGGCTGGGACCCCCCCCCCCCAAACTCTGAGGCCCCTTCCCGAACTCCTGGGTCCCTCCCCCGGACACCTGGATCCCCTTCCTAAACACCTGAGATCCCACTCAGAGACTTGGGGCCCCTTCCCGAACTCCCGGGTCCCTTTTCCGGACACCGGGATCTGCTCCACGAACTCCTGGGTCGCACCTGGGACATCTGGGCACCTGCCCAGGAATTTGGGACTCCTCCACGGGCACCTGGGTCCTCACCTGCCTGTCAGGGCTCCCCACCCCGGATGTCGGGGCCGCTGCCCACACACCTGGATCCCTCCCAAATGCCTGGAGTCCCTGTCCCAAACACCTGCATCCTCTGCTGGGTGCCTGTGTCCCCTTCACGAGCACCTGGGGTCCTTCCTGAACGTCCGGGCCCCCTTCCCAAACACCTGAGCCCCCTCCTCGTTGTGGGGCTCCAAGTCCACAGGTCTGGGAGGGTCCCTGCTTGCTGTTGCATGGATGGGGGGATGGAGGGGGTGACCCTGCTGACCCCCTGTGTCCCCCATCGGTGACAGCGGTGGCCTCAGGGCAGCTGCAGCAGGTGATGCAGGAGAGCCTGGACCTGCGGCCCCCCCCCAACATCAAAGAAGGTGAGGGGAGAGGTGGGGACAGCCAGGGGTGGGTGGACAAAGGGGGACACCAGGACTGGGGACAGGAGATGCTCATGGGTGGGGACATGGATGGAGGGGACACGGGGGGGTCAGGGTTGGGGGTAGAGGGACATGGGGACATGGTGCTGCAGGAGAAGGGGGACACGGGCTGGTGGGGACACGAGGTGGGAGTGACACAGGGACAATCGGGCACAGGAGTGGGACAGGGGCACGGGAACCAAACGGGGACACACAGGGACAAGCGCAGGGAGGACACTGTGTGCCCACCCCCCTCCCTTTTTCAGTGCTGCAGCAGGAGCAGGACCTCCAGGTGCCCCCCGACATCCTGGTCGGGGGGGCCATAGCCCCGCCGCGCAGCCCCCCGGTGTGGGGCAGCTCCCTGGAGGGTTTCCCCCCCGCCTGGCCCATGGACGACGCCGTCACCCGGCACTGCCGCGATCCCCCCACGCTGCCGCCGCCGCTGCTGCTGCCCCAGACCGCCTTCGGCCACCTGCGCCGGCAGGCGGCTGCGCTGGCCGCGCTGCGACCGCGGATGAACGATTGCTGCCGGCACCACAAACCGCTGCCCTGCGCCCGCCGCGCCGTGAGCAGGGGACACCGGGGGAGCGGGGGGACAACGGGGACAACGGGGAGAGCGGGGGGACAACGGGGATACCGGGGACACCGGGGAGAGCGGGGGGATACCGGGGACACCGGGGAGAGCGGGGAGACTGCGGGGAGGGGACACAGAGGGGAACGGGGACACCGCGGGCAGGGGGATGTGGGGACAGCAGGGAGACACTGTGAGGGACACGGGGACTCTGCTGGAAGGGAAGACACCAAAACACCGGGGCAGGTGTAACGTGGGGACAGCGCGGAGTGGGGAGACAATACCGGGAAAGGGGACACCGTGGGGGAAAGGACAGGCGGTGACACCGAGGGGGCTCTGCCCCCGCTGCCCCGCAGTGGACGGACGTGCTGGACGGGTTCTGCACGGATGAGTTCGGGGTGAAGACGCGGCAGTTCCACTGCTGCCACCTGCACGGGGCCGCTCGGCGCCACTGCTTCTCTAAGGGGGCCCCGGCCCCCACCTGGGACCCCACACCCGCCTGGGACCTGGTCACCGAGCCCCCCTTTCCCCCCGGCGAGCCCACGGCCGCCAACCTGGGCAACATCTGCGGGCTGCGGACGCTGCGCCCCGGACCCCCTGGTCCCGGCGGCCGCTCCGGGCCCCGTGTCCGGCTGCGCGTTCGGCTGGAGCGAGAATTCGGCCGCTGCTGCCGCAACGAGAGCCTGAGCTGCGCCCACAGAGCCGTGAGTGGGCACCCGGGGCGGGGGGACAAGGCTGGGACAAAGTCACAGTGCTGAAGGACTCGGGGGACCCCGAGTTTGGGAGGGTCTCAGGTGTCGAAGGACTGGGGAGGTCAGGTGTCCGTGAAAAGGACCCAGGTGTTTGGGAAAGGGCCCAAGGTGTTTGGGCTGGCGCTCCGGTATCCGGGGAGGAAATCCACGTGCTGGGAGCGCCCCGGGCATCCTGGGAGGGGCCCCAGGTGTCCCGGGAATGACCCGTGTGCCCGGAGCGTGACCCGCTCACTCAGAGGCCGGGAAGGCTCCCAGGTATCCGGGAAGGTGACAAACGTGTCAGGGAGGGACCCCGGCATCCGGGGAGGGGACGGAAGTGTCCCAGGGATGAGCCCGGTGCTCAGGTGTTTGGGCTACACAGTGCCAGAGCGCTCTCCCGACCCCAGATTTTCCTCCGCAGTGGATGAAGGGGCTGAATCGGTTCTGCCAGGAAGAGTCCTCGATAAAGACGGGGCAGCACCGGTGCTGCCAGCGGGGGGGTCCCCGGCTCCGGGCCCGCTGCTTCGCCTCCGCCGCCCCCCACCCCGAATACGATCGGGAGCTGCACAACGTGAGCCTGGCCCGGCCCGGCACCGCCCTGCTGCGCTCGCTCTGCGGCCCCACTCGGCTCTTCACACAGAGGTGGGTGGGGGACCCCCGAACACCCCCCGGGGGTCCCACGGTCCCTCCTGGTGGTGTCCCAGCTTTGCCGGACTCCTGATCCCCATCGCAGGCACGGGGGACTCGCCCTTGCTCAGGAGCCCCTTTCTGGGAGGGGCTGCGGCAATGAACTCCCCCTGCCTTTAACCCCCTTGGAGGTGCCCCCCACGCTCACCCGTGTCCGTGTCCGTGTCCGTGTCCGTGTCCGTGTCCACAGGCGGCCGGTGCCGGAGCTGCTGGGGGCCATGACGGCCGCGTGTTGCCCTCTGCCCGCCCCGGAACGCGGCACCTGTGCCCGGGAGCAGGTGAGTGACCCGGGGGGTCAGGGGCTGTGCTCAGGGGGATCCCCCCACCCCACAGCCGTCCTGACCCCCGTCCCCATTGCCCACAGCTGTCCCAGGGCATCGCCACGCTCTGTGCCACCCCCCAGGACGCCTGGCGGGACCCCCAGGGCTGCTGCTCGCTGGAGGAGCCCGAGCGGCGCCGCTGCTTCGACAGCACCTACCTGAGCCAGGTGACCCTGGGGGCCGCCGTGGCCCCCCCGCCCCCTGGCCACGAGGAGTGAATTCCCCACAGCAGGAGGGAACAATAAAGATGCTGCGGTGTCACCTCTGAGTGTCCCCGTGTTTTGGTTTGGGGGACTTCCTCGTGCCTCACTGTCTCCATTGTTTCAGGGTCCCCCCCGGGCCTCAGTGTCCCCCTCGGGGCCCCATTCCGGGGTGTGCCGGGGTGTGGGTGGATGTTGGGGTGTTTGCACTCTTGGGGTGTGTCAGGCCTGCTGTGATACCTGTGTTTGGTTTTGGGGTGTGCTGTGGCCACCACACTCACCCACACGGAGCCACACGGCCTCGTGCCCCCCAGGGGTCTCCGTGCACCTCTTCCCTGGAGTCTTGTGGCCCCACAGTGTCACTGTCACTTGTGTCCCCCACATGGCCACGATCCCAGGAGGTCCCCAAATCGTGGATCCCCCATGGTGTCCCCCCAGCCATGGCTGACAGTTCCTGGGAAGAGATGCTGGTCCCTGGGGAGTGTTTGGGGGACTCTAATGGGGCTGGGGGTGTCCTGTGGATCCATCCATCCCTCTGTTCTTCCTTGAATCCCCCCCCCGCCAAATACTCCACCCACCTGTCTGTCCCAAAATTCCCCAGCAGCTTCTCTTCCTGTTCTGCCTCACACAGGGCTCCTTGCCCCTTTGGGAAAAGGAAGAATTTTCCCCAGCACAAAGCACACCAGTCCAAGCCTTATTCCCAATTTTAGTTGAAAAATAAAGTCATATCACTCCCAGCAGCCTCCACTGGGATACAGGGTGGAGAGAGAGGGACCTGTGTTCTCCATTGGGAATATTCCACCTCCACCCCAGTATTCCTGAGGCAGAGGATGGAGTGGAACCTGTTTCCTGAAGCATGTCTGGGTGGATTGGCCTTCGTGGATCTGGCCGAGCACAGTCCATGGGAAGGCAGAAGCCAGCATGGCAAAGTGAGGAAAACAGAGTTGAGGGGGGCTCATCCCCCATTCCCTGCAGGTGGAAGAGGGGTGTCTCCCCTTCCCAGGGGAAATTTCTCATGGAGACAATTCCTCCTGGGAGCACCGTCATCTTTGAGACTGGTAGGGAGGAGGCCAAGCTGGAGGGCAGGGCAGTGGGTAGGGAAGGGCTGAGCAGGCTCGTCACATCTTGGGGAAGCTGGCCAGGTTGGCCACACCACAGGCGTTGTTCATATTCCGGGCTAGGAGGACGTAGCCCTTGTTGCCCCATTCCTCGCCCCAGCTGGAGGGTGGAAAAACAGAGCCTGAGCCTCTGGACGAGCCCCAGCCACCTGCAACTCCCAAGCCATGCCCATCCCACTGTTACCTGTTCTTGATGATCCAGTGCTTGGTGCCCTTCTGTGCCCCGTAGCCCACGGCCAGCACGGCGTGGTTGATGTTCTGGGCGTTGCAGCTCTCGTCGTAGTACACGCCTTGGGGACACAGCCGGTGTCACCGGGCGTGCCCCGGCTCCCCGAGCAGCCCCAGGACCCCCGACCTTCCCCCCAGCCCCTCACCCCGGCTGTAGAACTGGAAGGAGGGCAGGCTGGCGTCGATTCCCACGGAGATGGGCCCGATCCGGGCCACCGCCCTCTTCAAAGCCTTCTCATTCCCTTCGGGAATCTCGCGGTAGCCGCGGCACTTGGCCGCCTTCCCAGTGGGGCTGTACATGCAGCTCTCGTCCTGTGGGGCCAGGAAGGAGGAGGTGAGACGGGGCTGGGAGGGATGGAGGGGGATTTGGGGCTGTCCCCCCTTGCACCTGGCCGATGTAGGGGTAGGAGTCCTCGGAGTCGATGCCGCGGTTCTGCCGGACATACTCGAAGGCGTTGGTCATGTACCCGCCCCCGCAGCCGTCGTTGTTGGACACGCAGTCCACCAGGTTTTGGGGGCTGAGGGACAGCAGTTTCCCCGTTTTCCTCTTCAGCTGCCCCTCCAGGGCACCCACCGAGCTGAAAGCCCAGCATGAGCCACACTGGCCCTGTGGGGACACAATGGGTGACACCGGGGTGACACCGGGGTGACACCCTGCTCCAGGCACACCCATCTTACCTGGTTTTTGACAGGGGTCACGTAGCCTTTCTTGCGCCAGTCCATGGCAGCCGGGGCTTTGTCAGTCCAGTCGGGGACAAAGAGCGTCTCGTTGTGGCGTTGGTGGCCACGGGGCACCTTCAGCCCGGTCATTGTCCTCACCACCTCCTCGCTGGTCTGGGGAAGGAACCCCGGTGGGTGGGAGCACCCACAGGTGCTCAGCCCCACTCTCTCCCCTCCCAGGGACACCCACCATGTCACCCAGGTGGTTCATGGCCAGCTCGAAGGTGTGGACACCCAGGGCGTGCTCCAGGTTGTGGGTGTTGATGTATTTGAGGTTTTTCTCCCAGATCAGCCTCCGCGTCACCTCGTCCGCCTGCACCGTGGGGAGAGACGCTGCTGGCACGGGGGTCCTGCTGTGCCCCCCGCCCTCGGGACACCCTTGTGCCCCAGCATCCCACCCTGGGGATGTCACTGAGGGTCTCAAGCACCCGACCCCCCCATACCTGGCCATTGTACTGCTTGCGGTGCGTTTTTTTCCACAGCTCCCACTGCGCGTCCAATTCCCGCTCTGGGTGCAACTGGGCCAGTGCCGCGGGGAGCAGCAGGGCCAGCAGCGTGGGCCACCACATCCTGGGGACCAGCCGAACACTGGGGACGGGGCAGACACTGAGCCAGGGGCCCCGGGTGGGGGCACGACCCTGCGGGACTAGGACCCCCTGCACAGCGCGATTTGGGGCTGCGACCCTCTGCAAACCCCGGCTGGAGTCCGGGACCCCTTCCTCCACCGATGTGGGGCCAAGCCAACCCCGCGGGCAGCGCTGGTCAGGCGCCGGCATCACATGAGCCGGGACAGCTGTTTCCCGTTAGCGCTGCGGCGTCGTTCCGGCAGCCCGGAGCCGGGGGAGGGAGTTTTGGGATGCAGGGGGTGCAGGCGGGGGGATGTCCCGGCCATCCTGCCCTTCCCTGGCTTCCCCCAGCGGCCCCCGGCCCCACCGTGGCGGAGCAGGACCTGGGACGCTTCCCCGAGCCGGGGGTCCCGCTCGACGTGAAGTGCCTCAGTTTCCCTTTTTGTGCTTCCGAGGGTCCCATATGGGGCCCGATTCCCTCCCATTCCCGCCGGGATGCATTTCCCTGGGGACAAAGGCACCCACCGCCCCCCCTGCGTGTCCTTACCCAGCTCGGAGCCGTCGGTGGAAGCGCCGGGACGGGGCCTGCGGGAGCCGCGGCCGCTGCGCTTTTATGCTGCTGGATTGAGGAAGTTTGGAGGCAGCCGGAAAATTTTGGCAAGCGTCGGGTTTGGATGGGCTGGAGGGGAAGGAGGGGACAGGGAGGGGGACGAGGGGGCTGCCCCCGGCTCCACGTGATGCAGCGGGACGAGCTGAGTCAGCCGCGGCGCGGGGCTGGTGGCGGGTCCTGCCCGGGCCATCCTCCCGTCCCCGGGATGTCCCCCCAGCCCAGCATCCTGCCCTGGGGACACCCTCCTGTCCCCGGGATGTCCCCCCAGCCCAGCATCCTGCCCTGGGGACACCCTCCCGTCCCCGGGATGTCCCCCCAGCCCAGCATCCTGCCCTGGGGACACCCTCCTGTCCCAAGGATCTTGTCCTGGCATCCCACCTTGGGGACATCCTGCTGCCCTGGGGGACACCCACCTTGTCCCCAAGTCCTCCCCGCGGAATCGGATGGGGCCGAGCTTCCTTCAGGAGCTCGGGGACATCGTGTGACAGCAGGAATGCAGGGCAGCACCCCACAGCTCTGTCCCCAGCCCGGGGCTGTCCCCCCGTGCCCAGTTTGGGGGTCCCTGGCCGGGGGAAGCGGGGCCGGACGGGGCTTTCTGCAGTGACTGTCACCTCGTCACGCGGCTCCTGCCGGGACAGGGCAGAAGGTCCCAGACATGCCACGCTGGGGACATCAACATCATCATCATCATCATCACCGTCATCGTCACCCTCCAGCCATGGGAACGAGGCTGGACCATGCCAGGGACCAGCAGGGGACAGGGGCGAGGGGGGGACCAGCAGCAGCACCACGGTGGAGACGCGTCCCTGCCACCCCCTCCCCACGGGGGTCCCCGAGACGAGGGTCACCCCCCATGTGACCTGAACCTCAGCGGGGACGGGGGGGCTGAGTCACCCCGGGGCTCCAGGGCACAATCACTGCCTGGAGCACGAGGCCCTGACGTGGCACCGAGTGACCGGGAACCGAGGGGACAAACGGGGGGGGAATGGGGCAGGGCTTTGGGGGGCAAAACTGGCACCGAGTGACCGGGAACCGAGGGGACAAACGGGGGGGAAATGGGGCAGGGGTTTGGGGGGCAAAACCGGCACCGAGTGACCGGGAACCGAGGGGATCAACAGAGGGAGGAATGGGAGAGGGAAATGGAGGAATGGGGGCCAAACTGGGGGGAAAGGGATCTGAGGGACAAAACAGGGAGGGAACAGGAGTTTGGGGGCCAGAACGGAGATGGAGATTTGGGGACAGAAAGAGGCAGAAATGAGACAAAGGTTGGAAAAAGGGAACATCTCTTGTTGGAAAATCTCTGCTGCCCAGAATTCATTGGGCACAGGAAGCCTGAGAGGCTTCAGCTCCTGTTCCCCCAGGAGTGTAGGATAAAATTCCCCCCAGGACAAAAACTGGAGTTCCCAAAGAGGGTGGAAGGGCCCAGCCTGTCCCCTGTCCCTGTCCCCCATGCAGCAGCCCCTGGGAATCCTGCCAGCCTCCTCATCCTCCTTCCCAACAAATCTGGCTGCCCCAGCTGGTTCCCTTCTCCCAGGATCTGGAAAATCTGGGGTCTTACAGCCATGGGATCTGCAAGGGCTCAGGAAAACGGGAATTTTCCTCCTCCTCCTCCTTTAAGAGCTGAAGGATGTGCTGGGATGCTGGAGAGGAGGTTATTGCTGGGAACACACTCCCTGGATAACAGGACAGGGTGGATGACAGGATGTCTCCAAATGGGATGTTCCCATTAATCCATAGAGGAATTTGGAATAAAATTAAAAAAAAAAACAAAAAAAAAAAAAAAAAAACAAAAAAAAAACCAAACCCCAACAAAAACAAAACCTTCAAGTCTTAATTTTCCAGAGGGAAAAATAAAAGCTTCCTGCTCCACTTACAAGAGGAATCTCTCTGGGTTGGTGACACAAAGGTTTCAAAGCTTCCCACGTGGGTTTTACTCAGGAATGACAGCTCTGCAATCATCAGCTCTCCCCATTCTTGCCCTCAACCAGCAGAGAGAACACTCACAACCAGCCTGGGGGTCCCAGAGCCCCCTCGGCATTTAGGGAAAAGGGGGGAACACCCACATTCCATTCAAAACAAAACCAGGTTCCAGGAAAACTTGGGATTCTTCCCCAGCTGCCGTTGTGCCAAGTTTCCTTCCAAGTCCAACTCTGCAATTGATTTTCCTGTTGGAATTGAAGCAAGAGGGAATCAAATGGTTCTTCCAGCCCCTGAGGAGAGCAGGGTTGGCCACAAGTTTTTTTTTTTTTTTTTTTTTTTTTCATGGAAAAAGCCAGAAGATTCCAAGTCAATGTTTAAAAATTAAAAATTTTATATATATAGATATGTATATATATATAAAAATTCATTCTGTTCCCTACTTTTCCAGCTCTCCTCTTACAGTTTGTGATTTGGCAACAGGATCATCCCATGGCAGGAATTCTTCTTTAAGGAGACGGTGAGTGAGCAAATGTAGTGAAAATACACAGTTCCTCAGCAACTCCCTGATCAAATCCAGGGATTCTCCTACATCCAGCTCCAAAACAAGGACAAGGATCTCATCTACACGTGATAAAATTCCATGGACAGCGTGGAGCAGGTTTTATCCCAAAAAAACCTGTTGAAACATCGATTTGTGGCAGCACAGAAACCATCAGCTGGAAAATGGATTCATCCCGAATAAAGCTACATGGGTAATATTTTTATGGCTTGTTAATTATCCCGGGGTAACAGGGGGTCATGGGTCACACTGATTTCATTGCACAGTTCACAGGAGAGAGAAGATTCCAAACAAACAAGGGAATCTCCACGTGGAGCACCCTGGACTGGAGATGCCATAACAACCCTCCAAAAACAGCCAAAATTCCTCCAAAAAGGAGGAAAACACTGGCTTAGGACACGGATTCTTACTCAAGCATCCTCCAGGATTGTGTTTACAGGGATAACACTTGGAAGAGTTTCTTCCAGTATTTAAAAATTCCAATAGTTTGTGTTTTATAGAAAAAGTCACGGCAGAGAATGAAATAAAAACGGGTCAAAGCCACCTTAAAAGTTTGGAAGGGCTGTCTGTGATCCAGACAGGAATTCCTCCCAAAGAAATCCACTTGGGAGCGGCTCTGGGAACACGGGGGCCTCGTGGCACTCAGTTCCTGAAGCTTCCAGAACAATCCCACATGGAGGAGGTGTCCAAACCACCTCGTCCTCCACGGCCATCCCTCCTTGGAGCTCTGCTTCCAGAAGGTGGGAAGTGTTTAGACAGTTCCTTGAGAAAGACTTGGCTGTTTTCCTTTACATGTGGATATTGTAGAGAGCTGTAAGTTGTTTTCCCTAAGGCTTGTTTTACTCGGAAAAAGAAGGGAATATATTCAACTCTGGGAATTCTTCGTTGTTGTAGTTGGGCCCTTGGTCGCCCAGCATGGTCAGCATGTCCTGTGAGGATACAAGGAGAGAGTCAGGATCCACACTGGGATATCAGGTATCCAACAGCCTCAAGTTGGGTCAGGGAGGTTTGGACTGGAAATTAGGGGGGAATGGTTGGACTCCATCTCAGAGGCTTTTCCAACCTCAACAATTCCATGGAGTTGTTGCCATGTTGGTAATTTAGTCATGCATTTGCTGGAATAGATACCATGGACCAAACTGGTCCCTTTCCCAAGGGAACACAGGGTCTGTGTCCAAGGAAAATTTAGGGAGAGCAGCAAATGTAAGCTCTAATCACCAACTGCTGGGAAAGCTGGGGCGACATGTTATGAATTCTCAGCAATTATCTCAATTTCATTGGACTGCAGCTTATTTTTTTATTAATTAGAATTAGAAGCGTTAGTCCAATTGGAATTTCACACTGATCCTGCAACACACCGAGACACAAAGCCAGTCCTGCCCTCTTCACTTCCAACTCCATCAGGTTATCTGGGAGTTTGGGACCTCCCCAGTCGATTTGAACCGGAGGGACAAGCTCTGGCTGCTTCAAGACCAGCGGATCCCACCAGACTGGGAGGTTAAAAAGCTCCATCTTACTGGGAAGACCTCGGGCTGGCTGGGCTGGGGCTGCTGCAGGTTCTGCTCCCCGGATCCTGGGCCGTGGTGCTGTCCTTGCCACTGTGGCCACATCCCCACGGCGTCGGCGGCGCGGGGCTGGAACGGGGCCGGGGTCTGAGCTGCCTCCGTGCCTGCTGGACACAGAACACAGGCAGTGAATCATCCCTGCTTTGGGAACGTGGCTTCTCCAATGCTCTAGTGGGATTGGGAAGGGCAGTGCTCTGTTTGGTGCTGCTGCTGGTGACAGCTCCAGGAATTCCTGCCACAGGAATTCAGGTGTTTGCCATGGGATAGGACAGAGAGACTCCCAGAAGGGTTTGTGTCCTCCCTGTCAGCCTCAAAATGGCTCAGAATTCATCTGCTGGGATGACCCCAGATTATCCCGAACTGGAAGGGATCCACAAGGATCACCAAGTCCAACTCTGTGCCTGGAGGATGACTGAAGGTGATCAGTGTCAGTCAAAGCACGGATTCAACTCTACTCCCCACATTTAGGCACTCCCAAAATCCCCAAGGAACAACAGAGAGCACATCCCACCACCAGTGGACGCTCCCAGGGGTGTTTTTTCCCCCGGTCCCACTCACTGAAGCCTGTGCCACGGCTGGCCAGGCCCGGGTACGGAGCCGTGGTGGGAGACGCCGTCGATCCCGGTGGGGCCATGGGGCTGAAGGAGGACGGCGTGCCCTGGAATGTCCCCATGCCAAAGGAAGGCGCCCGGGTCTTCACTGTCTGGGATGCCACTTGCTGTAAGAGAGGAAAAAACACGGGAGAGGAAGAGGAGGCCTGGATCCACCCCGACCCTCAGCTCAGGGAGTGTTGCTGGATTAGCCCCAAGGAGGAAGCACACGGACACAGCGCCGGAGAGTGGAAGCAGGATGGTTCCCCACGGAGAGCAAGGTCTGGAAGGCAGCGGGGACCCGGGGCCTGCAGCTGGGGGTTCGGGCTGTGCTACCTGGGGTGTGAACACCGGCCGTGTCCCTGGAGCCCAGGTGGTCCCGCTGACCTGAGCTGGGCTGGAGTGCCGGGAAATCTGGGATAGGATCCGGCCGGCGGGCGAGGGCTGCTGCTGGATGATGTTCACTGGAGGGACCATGCTGCTGCTCCTGCAGTGGAAGAGGTGTCTGAGGCCATGGAACAGCACTTACAGGAGGAAGAGGCACCAAACCCTTCTGCTCAAGTTATCGGTGGAGGGAAATGAGCCCAACAATTGGGGTAACTCTGCCCATCTGGGAAGGGTGCAGTGGTGATCCCTGGAGTGTCCCAAGAATGTGGGGATGTGGCACCAGGGGTTAGTGGTAAACACGGGTTAACAGTCAGACTTGATGATCTTAGAGGGTATTTCCAACCTCAATGATTCCATGGTTCTATACTGGGAAACAACCGAGAGGAGCTGCTGGGGTTGTGGGCACCCAGATCCTGGGCACGGCAGAGGAAACAGAGGGAATGGGGGCAGGAGCTGGGCAGGTGAAGCCTCACCTGAAGTTCTCAGCAGGCCGTGCAGCAGTGAAGGTGTTTCCCTGGGCGAAGAGGGGCGGGTTGGCTGGCATGGTGCTGGCAGGGATGGCTTTGCTCTCATCTGCAGAGAGAACACGAGTCATTTTTGGGCTGGGACATCTCAGGAACAGAGAACCTGAGTTCTCTGTTGGAAGAGACGTGTCTGTGTGAAGGAAGACTCCTTTGTTCCTTCTGCAGACACAGACTGCAGAGTATTCTGTTCAAATCCTGTTTAATTTGATTTCCTCTCCATTTTCTGCTAAACTCAAAGCTCTCTGGGGTCAGAGCATGCACTGCAGGACTGTGAGCAGGGACAGGCAGGGGAGCAGAGCCGTGCTGCTGACCCACCTGTGCTGATGCCAGGGAAGATCTCCCCGAAGCGAGGGTCCCGCTCCTGGCTGAACAGGCTCTCAGCCTTGTCCAGGGGCTTGCTGTGCTCGGGGCCGGCAGCGCTCACGGGCTGGACGGGCACCTGGGGGGTGGGACACGGGAGCTGCTCACACCTGAGCAGGTGAGCACAGGGAGCAGCTGAGAATCCCGGGATTGTGATGTGTTTCTTTGGGATGGCAGGGCCATTCAGGATGCCCAGTCACATCCCTGGAAGTGGCCAAGGCCAGGCTGGACAGGGCTCAGAGCAACCTGGTCTGGTGGAAGGTGTCCCAGCCCATGGCTGGAGGTGGAAGTGGATGGGCCTTAAGGTTCCTTCCAACCCAAATTATTCTATGATTCCACATGATAAATCGAGCAACACCTAAGGCAGAAACACCTTCCCCTCAAACCTCACCTCAACCTGGTGCCACCACCTTTAAACTCCCAGCAAAAGGGTGACTTAAACATTTCAGGACAAGAAACAGGGAGTGCCCAAATCCCTCTCACCTGTGAGTGCTCGTACCCAGCCAAGCTCTCCCTTCCTGGGCCCACTTCCAGCTCTGCCTGGGGTGGCTGCTGCTGCCTAAAATAGAAAGTGTCTGTAACAGGCTGCTAAAGATAATTCCCAAGGGAACAGCTCTGGGTGGTTACACCACGGATTTGTCAGCCTGGAGCTCCTGGCTGCAGAGAGGGGAATTTGGGAATCAAGGGTGTGTGAGGTGAAGGCAGAAATGGGAAAAGGAGCCTAGCTCCTCCTGACCTTGAAGGCAGTGGGGCCGTGCCCATGTCCAGGGGAAGGCTGACGCTCTGCCCCAGCTGAGGCCTTGGCATGGAGTTTGCCAGGGCAGGCCGGGACTCCTGGCTCGAGTTCCTTCAAAGCAAACACAGAAAAAAAGAGATTTTAAAAAGTCCCAACTGGTAGCAGAGCTGGGTCCTGTGTGCAGCAGGGCATGGCTGTCTGGGACAAGATGCAAAACCCCATTTGAGTGAAGGGTTTTTGAGTTTCCACTTGGTTTCCTTGAACGGTGGTGTCACAGAACAGGATGCTCCAGATGTGGGGGCTGTGCTTCCCTCCTGCACACCTCAAACACAACCACACAGACACTGCTCTGCTCTGAACTTCCACAGGGATTTTAGGGTTCTGGGTGTGGGAATGGCTGTGTGTGGAACAAAGAAGTTCAAAGAGAGAGAGCTCCGACACAGGGCAGGAAATCAGGCCTGCAGCAAATTTCAGCCCTGCAGGGAAGCACTCCTACTTTGCTTCATGGCAAAAAAATCCTGGATTTCCCTTTCCCAGGCAATCCAGCCTTCTGTTTGCCTGCTGGAGCTGTCCTTGCCAATCCTGCAGCTCTAGATTACACACAGGCACAATTTCTTTGTCCTTGCAAGGGGTGTGGAGTTCCATAATGGAAAGCGCAGCTCTGACCATTCCCAAAGATGGGACCCCCTGGCCTGTCCCAGGAATCCAAGAACATTCTAAGGCAGATTTCCCTAATTTCAGGCACTTCTGGAGCTGAATTCTGGCAGCTTGTTAAGCCACACAACAAGACAGCCAAAGGCATTACAATTCCTGCACTCTGTAGTCCTCCAGTGCCTGGCACAGCCCAGCAGAGAATGGGAGCTGGGGGGACTGGGGAGCTCCTCCAGGGCTGTGCAAATTGATGGGAAGCTCGAGATGAGGAGAGGCTGATTCCCCAGGTACTCACTTGACGTTGGTGTTGGTGCAGATGATGTACTCAATCTCATCTGAGTAGGGGTTCTGGAAGGTGAACGAGCTGGTTCTCATCCACAGCCACTCCCGGTTTTTGGATCGGAAGCGGAACATGACTGACAGAACCTGGCCTTTTAACTTCACCACCTAAAAATAAGAATGGAATTACGTCAGTAGCACCTGATCAAAGGTGGGGAAGAGCAACCTGAGCACGAGTTCCCCCCCCCAGACCCCTGTGATGGCCCTTTGCCTCAAACCTGGACCACCACATCTCAGCCTTCCCAAACTAAATGGCACTATTCCCTTGGGATAGCTTGATTCCTAAAGGATACAGGAGGGGAATCTAAAATCCCCTTTTTGGCTTCACTTCTCTTATCTCTTTGCACTGGTGAGATGTATGAAAAAGCCTCCAAGAAATGACACACATGCTGTCGCTTCCCATTCCAACGGTTTGGAGCAATGGATATGAGGAGCTGGTTTTTGGAGTCATGAAACCACAGGGGCAGCCTTACCTGCCCTGCCACCAGTCCAAGGCCCTCAGAAATAACAGAAACGACAACAGGGCAAGAAAACCACCTCCACTGCGGGTTCTGCAGCACTGGGCTGGGCCCTAGAGATGAACCAGGGTTTCAGCCAAGTCAAGCAGGCACTTGGGAGCCACATCCCTGGCCCTAAAAGCCAACTGGACCAGCAGCCAGCGCTGGAGTTAAGGCTGGATTCAGGAGTTAAGACATCAGATGCTTCTGTTTTCATTTTGCATTTAATGATATGACTAAATCTGCAACTGCTCGCACAGGAGAATTAGCTAAGCTTTGTTTTTCTTCTTGGTTTTCCAGCCAATTTCGTTGTTTTGCAAGCACCAAGACATTCCAGTCTTGGAATGAACTCCAATCTGAATTCCACCCTGCATGCACAGGGCAGCTACAATGCTTTTACCTGTTGAAAACTGTCCCGTAAGAGCTGTTGGTCTTCTGGATGGCAGAAATCCACAATGTCTTTCCCCAAAAGTTCCTATTTTTCAAGGAATTGAGAGAGATTGAGTCAGTTCATCTGGCAGGCATACTCCATAATTAATCTGTCTTTGGACAGGTAGTTCCTGCTCCTTCCCCCCCAAATCCCTCTTACACAACCCCAGCACGAGAGCTGGTGTGCTGTTTTTTAAAAGAAAAGCACAACAGCTGTTGATTAATGTTTGATCTTTAACTCAATTTGAGGCAAAAATGGCTTTAATTGACATTTGACATAATCCAGAGACGCCCAGTCTTCCCATGATCAAAGGACTTGGAAAAACACATGGAGAAGCAACCAGTGGAGAAGAAACACATGTCTGGGTTAGGGCGTGGGTTATCAGCTCTGCTGGACAAGCAGAGCCACGATACAGAAGGAAAAAGGAAGTTTAAAGAGCACTTTTTTCTTAAAAAGCTCCTGAAGGTGCTCACCTGGGGCTGGTAACCCACGGTGGCCACGCAGCGGTGGTCGATGAAGGTGAAAATCCCTTCGGTGTTGTGTCGGGAGATGAATTCTGTGGGCTGGCAGACATTGTTCATGTCCGTGCAGTTGGGGGAGCTGGTCACCTGCCAGGAGCACAGGGAAAGTCACCAACCCTCGCTGGCCCTGAGCTGCCAGCCCTGAACTGGGATTTGTGCTCATCAGGGAATGTTTTCAAATAGGACAGTTTAAATCTGGGGACTCCCGGGACAAGGGAATGTTGGAAAAGGGGAGAAGGGAACTCACCTGGAGCCTGCCAATGGCCACGAGGCAGAATTTGCTGCCCTGGCCAGCGTCGGGGTCATCGTCAGGCAGGGAAACACCTGGGAGGGGAGGGCCAAAAATTCCAGCAAGGTTAATGCAGGAAAAATAGCTCATTTCAGAATAATGGACTGCAAGACATCTCTCTGGTTTGTAACCCTGTCCCATGAAGGGATTTTGTAAATTAAGGTGCCCCCCTCCCTTTTTTTCACCAGAAGGAATGAAAATCTCTGAACTTCAGCAAAAACTGCACATCAGACAGTTCAGTATTATTTTCATCCTCTACAGACAGAGACCTCTGCTGTTTCACCTTCAAAAATTAGGTCAATCTTAAAATAAACGTCAGAGATACGTTTGCAAAACACCTCCTGGCACATTCAGCTCCTGGAACGGCAACTTTAGACCACGTGCTCTTAAAGCCAGCCCACCTGAGCACAAGGTGAATCATTACCTGCTGGGGGCCAGGCTTTGATGTAGCCCGTGCAGTGCACGACGACGTAGTGAGGTTCTCCATCCTTGGCTGCACCTAAACCATTCCTTGGGAGAGAGAAACGGGTTGTGCTGCAGTGGGGGGAGGTGAGGCAAGGTGCTCAGCTGCGTTTTTTCTGTGTTGTATGGATGTTTGCTATTTATGTATCGTTTACCTGCAGCGGTTCCTCATGAAGCTGAGACGATTGACAGCGACTGGATCCACAGAGCTGTTGCCACACCTGCACCAGGGTTAGAAAGGATTTGATCTTTCTTGATCAACGTGAAAATAATCTGGATATCTTGAGTAAGAGGAATTTCCATCAAACAAACCCCTCATTCTGTAGAACTCAAGAGAGGTGACACTTGGGCTGAAACTAATTGTTATTTTAAACTGGATCTTCAGGGTAAACAAACATCTCAAGAATCCGACTGTAGGGAAAGCTCAGCCCTGTTCTATCATGACTGTATCAAAATGAGCCCAAAAAGAGCTGAAATAAAAGCATGGAAGGGCCAGGGTTAGGGAGCAAGTCCAGCTTTAGGCTCAGAGATTTCCCCAGGGAATTCCTTCCCACCTCATTCGGCAGATGAAAGATCTCCGGGAGCCCATGCACATCCTCATGGACTGCTGCCCTTCCTTCTTCACAGTCCCTGTCTTCAAATCCAGGATACGACCTACAGAAAAAGAAAAGAAAAAGGAGATGCTGCTGCACTGGGAGTCCTTCCACCAAGACAGGTGTGGCACCAGGTAACATAGTGGGAACTGGCAGGACACGAGTGTCACTGGTGGTACCTTTAGATGCACTCTCGGGGGGGGCTGCAGCATCCTTGGTAGAAAGGCACCAGGGCTTGGTTCCCTCTACAAAGGGAAGGGTTTAATCCAAGTCCTCCGCAGGCTCTCCCACCTGCCAGCCCCTGGCGTCCCTGCCCGGGCTCTGTACCTGTGAGGGCGTTCTCGGAGGTGGAGAGCTGCTCCCGCAGCTTGCCCACGTCGTCGGGGTGCACCTGCTCGTACAAGGTGCTGCCGAACCACTCGGACTGCGGCTGGTTCAGCACCGGCGTCACCGAGTCCGACACGTACACCACGCGGCCCGTCTCGCAGGACACGATGAACAGGAAGCCATCGGCTGCCTCCAGGATCAGGTGTTTGAGTTCCTGCACACACACACACACACACACACATCTCTCATCTCCACCGCCTGGACTTTTTCCCCCCCGCGATTGCTCTAATTCCCACAAAGCAGCATCAGGGAGACCTCACTGTGGCCTTCCAGGACCTTACGGGGAATTTAATAAAAAGAGAGACATTTTACACAGGCAGAGACCTGGTCGGTGAGGAAGGAGGGTTTGTAGGTGCCGTCCGTGGAGGTGTTGCCGGTGCCACGCAGGGATTTCATGTGGGACACGGCCATGCGCAGGATGGTCAGCTTGTCCGGCTTGCGGGCCAGGGCGCTGCACGTGGGCACCATGTCCGACAGCTCCGTGATGTAGGCAGTCATCTTGTTCCTCCTCCTGCGCTCGATCTCGCTGTGGTTCTCCCTGCCAGAGGTCGGGGAGGAGAAAGGAGGAAGGTGAAGTTACCAGGGCTGGCGGGTCAGACGTGTCCCCACGCCAGCGCTCGCACGGGTGTGACACACACAGAGATGCATCGGGGCCGTCAGGATTAGGAGTCAAGCCTCACATGCTGGGCGTGCACAGGGAACACAGTGGAGAAGGGGACAAGGAGCAGAGGCTACACCTGGACCTTCCTCGAAGTCACAGAGGCTCCCTGGACCCCGGGACAGCGAGGAGCTGGGCTAACCTTCCCCATGCACCACACAGCGCTGCAGGAAGCCAAAGGAACTGCTCTCCTCTGCTCCAAAGCGGGGTCACCTCGCTGCAGGTGACCTCAACACTGTCCATCTGAGGCTGGCTGAGATCACCTGCACCATCAGACCCACCAGGCCTGCAGCTAAGACTCGGGCACCTGCTCTTCTGGGCAAGCTGGGATAGTGGGAGGTGTGTGACTAAAGCTCCTTCCAAGCCCAGCCACCCAGGACTCTGAGTGACCTGGATTAGCTGGGCCTCACCTTGCAGTGCTTTGGGAAGCCACTTCTCAGTGACATCAAGAGCCCTTTCACCATCACAGCAGGGAAAGCTTCCAAGCTGGTTCTACCTCATTTCTGCACAGATGATCAAGGCCAAGCAGCCTGGGCAGAGCAGGACCAGGAAACACCTGGGTAGTGGCACCGACCTCTAAAGAGGCACTGTGGCCATTGCTGCCACCCAAAGAGGCCCTTGGCACCCCTCTGGCTCACAGTTCCCATCGGTCCCACACACTGGAATTTGGTTCTTTTCTCCAGGGTACAAAATTTAACTGGGTTCCTAAGGCGGGTTTTCCAAAACAGAGCTTAAAAGCCAGGTTTCCTATAGAGAAGGATGGATCAGGTGCAAGGAAGCACGTGGTGGGAAGTGAAATGAGATGGAAGTGTTGGAAGCAGGAAGGATAGGCAGGTGAACAAAAGGATAAATACAAAAATGGAGCATTTATCACTACAAGGTGTGTGCAGACATTCGGTGACCTCACCTTTGAGTCAGGCAGCTTCTCTAAACTCACAAGCTCAGGTGTGACAAAACAAAGATCCTTCAACTACAAAAGCGACTGGGAATCACCAGACATTTACATTTCACTTGCCCCCTGTCCCTCTGCCATGAGGAAAGGATGGGAGAACTGGGATTGTCCATCCTGGGGGACAAGAAGGCTCCAGGGAGACCACGGAGCCTGTCCAGTCCCTAAAGAGGCTCCCAGAGAGCTGGAGAGGGACTTGGGACAAGGCCTGGAGGGACAGAACAAGGGGGGAATGGCTTTCCACTGACACAGGGCAGGGCTGGATGGGATTTTGGGAAGGAATTATTCCCTGTGAGGGTGGACAGGCCCTGGCACAGGCTGCACAGAGAAGCCCCATCCCTGGAAGTGTCCAAGGCTGGACTGGATGGAGCTTGGAGCAGTCTGGGATAAAGGAAGGTGTCCCTGCCGTGAACAAGATGAACTCTAACATCCCTTCCAACCCAAACCACTCCATGCTTCTCTAAAATGTTCTTTGGTGCAGGCTCCTGGGAACAAACCCTCGGAATGGCTTTGCTGTTCCCTGCATTCCCACCTCACCTCTGCACCTTCCTGATCCCCTCAAACATTTCAGCACAGCTCAGTGCAGCCAGCAAAGGCACTCTGGGGGTCAGGCTTTGGTTTAAAGACAAAACTGCCCGAAATTGGCTAAAGTCTGCAAGGTGGGAAACGAAGGGTACAGGTTTAAGGCTGGTGCAGGTGTGCACAGGTGTCCTCAGGGCCCACACCTGGATTCCTGCTGCAGCATTCCAGGTGACTGTCCTGGTGGTTTCAGGCACAGTCTCTCATTAATTACTTAAAAAACACTCGGAGAAAAATTAAATCCTGTTGCCAGTGACACCACCTCTCCTGGAAGGAAAACACCTGAGCTCACACACCTTTTCCTGCCTGTTCTGAGAGTCCAACAGCATTCCCAGAACACAAAACCTTCCCAGATGGACAATCTGGCACCTTGACCCAGGACAAGAGGAACTCTATTGAGCATAGGTTAGCAAAGCTACAGGTGAAAGCAGGAGCCCAACCCTGTGGCCTTTGGTAAATAAATCCTTTCCTGAATTCCCTAAAAACGTTCTTCCAGGGATGAGGTGTGCCTTTCCTCAATGCCTTTCCCCTCCTAACCCCAATTCCACAGCCATTTCCAGGAGTCTGTTAAATCCTCTGTAGCAAACGAGGGAAGGAGGGACAAAAAGAGAAGGGATGCCTGGAGAAACATCAAGGAAAGGAAAAACTCTGCTTGTCCATGCTTGAAATCTCCATTCTCCTACCTGGCAAGTCTCTCCTTATCCGCTGAACTCTGCTCATCATCAGACCTAAAAATAAAATTAGCCAGCTAAGCTAAAAATGGAAAAAAAAGTTGAAAAAAATGGAAAAAAATGGAAAGATGGACTAGGAAACCCAGGCTAGGGACAGGTCTGTTTTGCAGAGGAGCAATTCCATAAAATAAAACAGTCATCAGTTTGCAACATTCCACATTAAATTGGTGCCTGATGTGTTGGAGTTTTAAAACATTTTGTGAGGCTGTGACCTAGCTCTAATTTGCTTATTTCTAATATTAGAAATATTCTCGTATTTCTAACATATTTTTGATTTGCTTGATTTCAAAAGGACTCGAACCACTTAAAAAGCTGGAGAATCCCAGCTTGGAATTCCCTGTAGCCCTTTGGCAGGTAACAGCAGGACAGTGACCCCCAAATGCTGGGGGGGCAGTTTTGGGCCCCTCCTGGCAAGAGGGACATTGATGGGCTGGAGCGTGTCAAGAGAAGGGAAAAGAGCTTCAAATAGAAATAGAAATACCATGGGGTCAATCCCAACACTCAGAAATAACTGTCAGACACCAAAAACCGATCCAAGTATTCCCTACAATCTCCAGAAAAACCCCCAATTTGTAGAGCTGCTGTGTAACTCCCCACGAAACACAAAAACCACAACGTGTGCCAGGAAACCCTGTTCAAGGAAAACTTGTACTAAGCAGGAAACTCGAATATCTGAAAGTTTCTTGAGCAGGAGAAAAGAATGAGAGTCCAAAGCCAGAGCTGAAAGGAACAGTGAAAAAAAAAAAAGGAACGTCATTGTCACACTCAATGTACTGGTCCAAAAAACAGCAAGGAGTATGTGTGGGTCCCTTCAAAGAGATATGATTGTGAGAAGGGTGCTGCAGGATCCCTCTCACATTAAAGTTTCTTGGCACAAAAAGCTTTAAAATCATCCAATTCTTACCTGGCAAATCTCTCTTTATCGTTTGGCATCGGGTCATCATCACATCTAGGAGAAGGGGGAGAGGTTAAAGTGTTTACACTTCCTTCTTTCCCAAAAAAAAAAAAAACCCAAAAAAACAGTGAGAAAACAAGGTCTAACAGCTCCCACAAAAAATGCCTGGGGTTGAAAAGGCCAACCTGGCTGTGGGTGAGCAGTGCAGGACAATTCACTGAGCACTCCAAACACTGTGGGTGAGCTATTGGCATCACCTCCACAGGGTTTTCCACACTGGAGTGTCCAGTCAATCACACTCAGTTTAATCCCACACCAACAAATGGATTAAACTGCACGTGGAATACAAAGGCAGCCCAAATCAGGATCTCCATCCAAGGGTTTCTCTTGGTGAATCCTACATTCATCATCCTGAACCATTCCAGGGCCATCCCTAAAGCACGGGAACGCAGGGAATTCCAGATCACTGGAGTTATTCAACCCTAAACCATGTGCTGAGGCTACCAATAAATGACACAAGATATTCCAACTCTTCTGTGTTCCATATGGATCACGAGGAGATCCTCACAGCCCCACCAACTCCTCGGGAATAAGGATATCTCTGGAACTGGAGCATCCTTACAACAGATGAGGATTAATTAACAATGTCTGAGGCAGTAACAAAAGCCACAGAGATGGAGGAATATTGCTGACTGGGAGAAAGGGAGGAGTTTGAGGAACTGGAGTGATTCCCACCACTTCCAGTGAGGAAAAGCCACAGGAGCAGAAAGATCTTGCTCCAGGGAAAACACACAGACACAGCTAGCCCATAGGACAGAAATTTCTGGATGCCATATTCTCCCTCACCTGAGGAATTTACTGTTCCCTTCTCCATCATCATCAAAATCGAGCCTGAAACACAGATAAAAAAATAACTGTTAACCAAATGGCTTCTCCTTTAAACCAGTTTTCTGTCTGTTCCTATGGATGCAGATGATTCCTGAAAGGAAAAATTAATTAATCCAAATGCAATTTAGTGATCTTAACGTGAAACAACCAACAAAGTTTGGAAAGGGGCTTCTTTGAGGTGTCTGTCAAGAACAGAGCAAGGAAAAACAGTTCCAAAGGAAGAAAACCCACTTGGAGCATCCACTGCATCCAGAAGGGTAAAATCTTCCTGGAGTTAAAGTTCAATTTGTGCAGTGTCTGCTCACACAGGGCCAAAACCCCTTTTCTGGCCAGCTCATGTGAAAGAAGACTTTTCACCTTTCCTCCTTTCCTCTTGGGCTGGAACACCGTGGATGCAGCAGAGCATGGGAGGAGCTGCAGGGGAGTGGGAGCATCAGCAAATGGAGCTGAAGGAAAGAGTTGGAATGACTGGGAGGGGCACAGAGACAGATTTCAGTTTGCTTGAAAATTACGAGGCAATTTCTCTTGCCAGAAATCTGGGAACAGCCACTCAACTCCCTCTGAAATTGCAAAGGCATTTTCAGCAAACAAAAAGCCTCCCACAAGCACATTGTGGCTTCCCCCAACCCCTCCCAGGGACAGCAGAGCTGCAAAGATTGGAGGAAGGCCCCAAAACCCAGATTCTCTGCTCCCCCCAGGCCTTGCAGCAACTCCTGTCTTGATCTCAGTCCTTGATGTGCATTTGCTCCTTCTGTGAGGTGCAAAGCTTCTAATCCCCTCTGAATGTCACTCAACCCCCTCTTCAAGGGCTGTAGCTGGCACAAAGACAGCACCACAAAGGAAAAGGACTGGACGGAGCCCACCTGAAGGAACCAGGAAACTTCTCAGAAGCAGCCACAGCCGCCCCTCCCGAGGCTGAGGGCTCTTTCTGGAGAACAAAACTTCCTCAAAAAGGCCCTTTTTCCCACAGAGCACAGCCCCAGCTCTCACTCTCTCACTCACCCAGGCCGTCTCTTGCTGGGCCTCTGAGCAGCGGCTCCTCCCGCCTGGGCTCCCGACCCGGAGCTCCCGGAGCCCACGGCTGCAGCCAGTGAGGAAACGTCGGATGCCATCTCTAAACAGGAGTGGGAAAAATCAGGGAGTGTTACATCCAAACCCCCCCCCTGGATCAGCGGGACACTCCCCAGCTGCGTGTCAGCATCTGCAGGGGCTGGGGCAGTGTGAGTTTGTGTCCTTTCATGTGCTCCACACGCTGCTTCCTCAGCTGCACGGCTCAGGCTGCCAAATCAAAAGATGTGCTCTCGTTTTTGGAGAGAGGAGGAGCCTGCTGGGAGCAGGCGAGGGGCTGAGGCTGCACCAAGGAGGGAGGAGGAGCAGAGCTGCGAGTTTCCCTGATGACACCAACTTGCAGAGGGCTCTGTTTCCCAATCTGAGACAAAGAATGAACCAAAACGCTCACGAAGCGCCTCAAAAACCATCCCTGTGCACTTGATCACTTCAGTACACACCAGTGGCCACCAAGGGCATCACTGCTGGCCCGCCCGTGCTCTTCCAACAGTGCCTGGAGCACCCTGGGGAGTGCTTGGTGTCCCAGCCATGACCCAGGTGATCTCCACGGCCCTTTCCACCCCAAACCGGTCTGTGATTCCAGCATTCCGTTTTCCTGAATTTTCCCCTAATCCTGGTAGCTCAGGAGCACGGCTAACAGGGTCTGCAGTTGTTTGGAGTTTGCTCAGTGTGGCTTATGCTGAATCTACATCCCAGCATTACCATCAATGCTCCTCTACATTCAAACATTCTGTTCCACATCAAAAAATGAGCTTTTAATCCATTATAAACCATTTCTTCCTGTTTTTCTGAAGTAAGCCAGCCCTGTGCTTATTTTAATGGTTGTGGGTTTGTAAATGTGTGGCAAAACTGCCCCAAAACAGTTTCCAGCCTGAAAATCTCCACCACAACCTTTGCAAACTGAGCCTGATGCAGTTCCCAAACCACTTCTGCTTTATCAAAGCAGAGGGACCCCAAAGCTACCCAGACACCCCCAAAAACCCCAGTGCTGGGCTTCCCAAACCACCCCAGCAGCACCGAGAGCAGCTTGGGCAGGAAACAGCCACAAATGGGGGGACAAAGTGAAGAACTGAGGTTTCCTTCACATTTAATGAACTAGGGGGAAAAAAATGGGCTTTAAGCTGAGGTTTCCAAATTCTTCTCCACTCCCCAAAGCCAGATCTCAGTCCAACAATAGTTTAATTTCACTTCCAGAGTTGGATATTGGTTTATTTACAGCTAAAAGTGGAGCTGTACAATCACCTCCATGGTGTGCCTGGACCTCACAGCAAACACGCTCCCAAATTTCTGGTATCTCTGCCAAAATTAAACATAATTTTACCACATTAATGCTCCCAGCCTCTCTGCCTGCCTGCTTTGTTTTCCTCCAAGCAGCTGGCTTTGCTGAGGAAGCCTTTTCCTCGATCCATAGGATTTCCCAGGGGTGACTACAGTATGGAATAAGCATCCAGCTCGAGGCTTGGCAGCTGAAGGAGCCAACAACAACAATCCCAACCAAGAGCAGGAGTGAGCACAGCCCATCCAACACCAGCTCCAGCAACAAAACACCAGGATCCTCTGGAACTCAAAAATACATCTAAGAACAAAAATCCCGAGGTGGAAACCCTTCCCCATCTCCTTTCTGCTTGGCTTTGGATCACTCAGAGGCCGCTGTGCCCCATCCCTTATTCCCAAGTGAAGTCCCAAGGTGACATCCAAGGATTTTGTCTAACAAAATGAAGTTTCGAGTGGGACTAAAGCAGGCCAGGAGGGTTTCTCCTGTTCCCCAACCATATCTGAACACGGTGGGAGCACAAGTGAAGTTTCTGGAGCACAGAGAATCCCGTTCTTGAGGGAAGGAATTTCCGCTCGGGGCAGGGGAAGGAAGTGACACGGCGCTGTTCTCCAGCCCCAGCTCCACACAGGCCCGAGTGGGACACAGGGAATTGCTTCCCAAGACTTGCAGACTTCCCAGGAGACCAAGGCAGGGAGAACTCTGGCTTTTCCACCCTTTGGGATCTCCAGGAAATGCGCAGGAACGCAAAGATTCCTTCCCAACTTCTGCCTTCTCCTCAGTCCAAGCACCAGCACCACGACACTGAGGTGAATTCCTGGAGCACAGGGTGGAGTCTGCACCCCACACAAATCCCTGGAATGAGGCTGGAGCCAGCTGGGGATGAAAGGAAACAGCCCCAAGTTGTACCAGGGGAGGTTTAGGATGGGTGTTAGGGAAAAATTCCTTCCTGGAAGGATCATTGGAAGGGGCTGCCCAGGGCAGTGCTGGAGTCACCGTCCCTGGAAGTGTCCAGTCAGGAGCTCCAAGAAGTCCCAGGTGAGTTTCCAACATCCTGGCTGGCTCTGTGTCCCAACCCTTCCCAGAACCAAGCCCTGCTTCCCCACACCATGTGCTGGATCTAATTAAGGCCAGAAGAGAGGAGCAGGAGTTTGCAAGGGAATGTAAATCCCAACCTCCCCCCCCTGCTCCAGCTCCAGGCTCCCAGCCCAGCTCTCCTGGGAATGGCTCTGCTGCAACCACTGGCATCCCAACGGGGGGAAAAAAAAAAGGCTCCGAAATAAAATTACAGCAAATATTCCCAGCTGTGATTTACGAGAGGGGCTGCTGCAGCTCTAAGATGTGTTTTTGTTGTACAAAACTGGTGCTTTTTGCTGCAGAAGCTTTAGCAGGGCATTATTTGCCAGGCTCACATTTGGAGACCGAACATCACAAGATTTGCTTTAAATTTACCCATTTTTGAGCTCCCCAAAAAGTCTGGAGCAGGTTTGGGAGCAGATAAACCAGCCTTAAAACTACTTGCATTTCACTCACAACAATAATGCTTTGATATTTCCCTTTTTATGGCTTTTTATTTACAAAACATCTCAATTTCTGTGTGTGGGGTACATTAAATTGATTTTTTTTTGAAGTAAGCAGGAGGCTTTTAGCCTGTTTGAGTTTCCCATGCAATGCCAGCTCAGCACTTTCATCCCCATGGGAACCTTCTCCAAGAAGAAATATAGAAATTAAGAAAACAATGTTTCTTCCATTGCTAAGGGGTTGCAATGGAGACATTCTGGGTATTTTGGGGCATTACCCAGCATTCACTGGAGCCCTGAAGTCTGTTTTTTAACATCAAGGAAAAAGAAGACCCACATTTATTTCTGAGAATCCTTCAGGATTTATTCTCCTTATAATCCCCGTGTTTACTGTTTGTGTATTTTCCTCCCTCTGTGTAAAAGGGTTGAGTGAATATTGGTCACTCTGGCCACGATTATAAATATTAAACACAGATGTTGAAAATTCTTTCTTTTACTTCAGAATTTAAAACTTTCTTATTATGCAAAAAACCACAGAAGACTCCACTTCCACAAATGCTTGAAAGCACAGTTTAAACCCACCAGTGTTTTCCTTCCTCCTAAACTGGATGGTCTGAGTCCCCAGCGCATTCTCTCACCATTAAAAACAACAAAAACTTCCTAAAACGTTAAAATGAAAACCCAGAATCCTTCAGCAGTGTCATCGAACGCTCCTGGATAAACCTGAGCAAGTGGCACGACCCTCAAGCCACAAGAGGAGCCACAAGAGGAGCCACAAAGCACAAGCTAAGATTGAGAAAAGCCCCAAAACCACAAACAAGCTCAAATTCTGATCTCAGCCACCGCGTTGTAAATCCATTACGACTTCACAGATGCTAGGTTAATCTGAATACAAGCTCATTTCAGAGCAGTTCAGCCAGAAAATTGATAAAATCGCATATCTGGGGCTTTTTTTTGGCAAGAATGGGGGATCACCAGCTCCCAGCTTCCTGCGCTCAGGGAGCTGTGGACTCTGGGGACCAACCTGAGGGAACATTGTTCTCCCCGCCTTCAGAGACAGATCGGTGCAAAACCTTCAAAACTCAGTGAAACACAGCTGAAAAAGGGGCTACAACCCACAGAAGCCGTCAAGGAAAACAGATCCAAACGAGTGATGATGGAAACCCAGCCCGGGGACCCCAAATGCAGGGATCTCCGCCTCGAGGGTGTCCTGGAAGCAGCGGCTCTCCAGGGACACCCGGCCCCCGCACCCCAAACCCAGGTACCGCAGCCCTGAGCCCTCAGGGAGCACGAGTCCCACTGTCCCACCCCATTTCCACCCGATACAAGCCCCCACATGGCTGCCCCTCAGATCCTCGGGGGCCCCTCACGCCCCTTTCAGCCCCTTCAGGGCCCCCTGAGGGTCCCTTTGGGAGCCCCACATGGCGCTCCCCGCCCCTAAAGGTCGCCCTCAGCCTTCCAGGGCTCCCTGAGAGCCCTTGGGTCCTCTCAGGCCTCTCTCAGCCCGCACTCATCCCGCAGAGCCCGCCTCAGGCCCCCTCTGCTCCCCTCACAGCCCCATGCACCTCTTCAGCCCCCCCGGAGCTCCCCCTGACCCCTCAGGCCGCTCCCCAGCCCCGCCTGTGCCGCCCGCGTCCGGGCTCACCCGCGCTGGCGGCGGTGGCGGCCATGGCGGGGGTCCCGGGCCGCCCCCTCAGCGCTCCGCTCCGCCGATCCAAGATGGCGGCGCAGGAAAACCTCCGCCGGCCTCACAGCCCCGCCGGCGCGGGGGCGGGGCCAGAGCCACGCCGGCCTCCTATTGGTTCAACCGGGGGGCGGAGGGAGGGACAGGGGGAGAAGCGGCGCTGCTATTGGTCCAAACGGAGCGCTGGGGGCGGGGACAAGCGGAGGGCACGGCCAGGGGCCGGGGCGAGCGCGGCAGGGTTCCGCCCCCACCGGTGAGGGGGCGGGGCTAGGGTGGGTGGTGTTGATGACGTCACGAAAAAGGGGATTGGGGTTGGGGCTCTAAAAGCCAGGGAATGAAAATTGGGATCCAGGCTGGACATGTGTTTTGGGTCGGAACTGGGATTGGAACTGGGATTTGGGGTCACCAACAGGGCCCCAAAACTCATCCTTTGCTGAAAAATCGCGGGGAAAACCCCTACAGCCCAACTCATGGGGTGTCAAAGTCTCACTGTCTAACCAAAATGATCATTTTTTCTCTCAGAAGGGGAAAATAAAGAAACTTGAAGGAGATTTTTGTCGTATTTTGCGTGTTCTGGGGGTCTTCGTGAGGCTGGCTTGCAAGACCCAAATGGGCAGCTCAGTTCAAAGCATTTTCCAAGAGATTTTTCCCGTGTATTCCAATACAAGCAAAAAACTACCCTGAAATCGTCTCACAGGCAAGGCTTTCGGATTTGGGGATAAATCCTCCTCGACACTTCCCAAATCACCCCAAGTCACCAGGAAGACCTGTGAAGGGACCCAGAGCCTTCTCCCAGTGGGAGAAGGGGGTGCGGGGTGGGAATTTAATCCTCTGGGCTGTGTCTGAAAGGTGATGCCGGCGCATTCCTGCAGAATTCATGAAGGCCTGGAGCCAGTGGGGCCAGGACAGAGACCCAGCGCTGGCCACAGGGAGGTAAGGAAGGAGCAGAGGGGACTCAAGGCCATATTTCCCCTTTTTTTTGGGGGTGTTTTTGACCCCTCAGCCCCATGAATCCCCCACCCCGTTCTGGCCCCTCAGGGATGTCATTGGGAGTGTGCTGGGGAACACGTGCTGGAGCCAGGAAGAGACACCTGAGCGGTCCCTGGAGCCGAGGGACACCCACCTGAG